ACTTACCTTACAAGTCAAGATACATATTATGGAAAGTCAACACATTTTTGGAGGTTATATAGAACGTCCCCACATAGATCCTAAGTAGATAGTATATATAGAGGTAAGACTAAAGCCTTCTTTACTCTTGTCAACTCCTTTCTTGCTTTTAGTCTAGATTCAAGAATCTTTAGTTTCCTTGTTTTTTGGCAATAGCCATTCCAATTTCTTTTTAATATATATATTACTTTATTTCTATTTTTCACTTTTCTTTTGATATAAATTTCTTGGATTTATGCATCTTCTTCCAGTTCATGTCCTTGACAGTTTATCATGTTGTATACACTTGAGTTTTAGATGCATATACTACTCTTTGAATATTAACCTTGTCCTTTCTCTTTTCTTTTTTTGCAAGTAAATCTATGGCATCTTCAATATTTTTTCACTTTGTTATCTATCCTTCATATTTTATTTTTGTCTTCAAGAAGCAACTCAAATTTTTCTTGTAAATTTCTATTAGTTGCTTAAAGAAATAATTCAATCTTTTTAGTTCCAATGTAAATCCTTCCACCTTCAATAATTGAAAATATTTCCTTTAAAACTCCCTTAATAACTTTTTTTCTTGTAAATTCTTGTTAGGCCGTTCAATCCATTTTAAAAATAATTTCTTAATAACATAATTAATGTTCTCTAAAAAATATTCATCTTTTAATATATGTGAAAATATCTGCCATGAACTCCAATAATACTTCATAATTGATATAATATATTTTCATATTTCAAATATCATAACAAGTCCAAATAGTTCAATCATCTTCTTTTCAAAAACTCAATTTAATTCCATTTCTCCTATATAAGATCTAAGATACTTTGAGGTATTTCTTCCATCAAATTAGTCAACTTTCTTAACCACTGCTTGCAATGCTTTGATTGCCAAAGCTTTCATGCAATCATTTCTTTGCTATTGTTGCATTGACAATATAAAAACTTAGAACATGCTTGCAATGATTGGATCCATAAACATATCTTATCTTTTAATAGAAACTCTACAACTCCACTCGAAGTTCCTTCCATAGCTCCTTCACAATTCTTACTCTTATTATCTATTAAATAAAAATAAAAAAAATAAACAAACTCTAATGCCTCCTACCTTAAGCATTCACGTCAAGTTCACCACTGATGTCGTATTACATAAATTTTCTTGCTTGAAGATGCACTGAGCATTTAGTTATAGAAGGTAGGTAGAAATCCAATAATAATCCTACTAAGTTTAATAGAATCTTAAATAAACTTTAAATAAACCTTAATAATCCTAATCAAACTTTGATTAATTCAAAATAAATTTAAAAGAATTTATAAAAATACACAAAGAAGTCCTAAACTAATTTCAAAAAAGAAAACAAGAATCTCAAAGAAATACAAAATAAATATTTAAAGAAATAACAATAATCTCAAAAAAATATTAGAAATAGAAAATTTTAAAGAAATAATAGAGGATCCTAAAGAAATAAAAAAATATATAAATCTTAAATAAATTCTAATAAAACCTTAATTTAATCTTAATTAAAATACTAAATAAATTCTAATTAAATTTTAATTTAATTCTAACTAAAATCTTAATGAATCTTAATCAAATTCTAGATAAAATCCTAATTGAAATCCTAATTAAATCTTAATCAAATCTTTGATCAAATCCTAATTGAAATCCTAATGAAACTCTAAATCTTAAATTAATCCTAAATCAAATCCTAATCAAATTCTAAATCTTAAACAAATTCTTAATAAATCCTACAGCAAATTAAAACCTCAATAACTAATGATTGAATCATCGAAATCAATTCAAATTTTGGATACTTCTTAATAATTTAGTTAAAAATAAGCACAAGAAAGATGAAATTGATTGCATTTATCAATTAAGAGAAATGTAAAATAATCCAATTAGAAATTGAAGGACTTCCTATTCCAACCTTAATGTTGAACTTCCAGTGCTAATATCTCCTTCTTAAACTATTAAATTACTTTCAAATTTTATAAAAATGTTGAAAAACAAGTCTATTATCTACATAAATAATTTTATTCTAATCCAATTTGTAAATTATTGAATATCTTATAAACATTCAATTTTTGAGACTTCAACCCAGTAAAATCCTAATATGCTTCAATCTAATTGTTCAATTGACTTCAAATTTTGCATATACATTTACAACAAGTACACCAACAAGTTGCAAAAATTTCACCTATACAAATGCTACAAAATTCAAGAAACCTTCAAATTTATAAATATATTTTTATTTTTTAAAACCTAAACCTACTAAAAACATCACTAATCTTGAAAATTCTTTAAAATCTCAATATTGATTCAAATGACATAAAACTATTGTCCAAAAATCTTTCTTCAAGTCTGCTATCAAATTCTATTCTTTAATCTTTAAAAGAACCTTAGAATTGTCGTATAGATATAGCTTTGTGCCTCGGGGTCTGATTTTGATCTAAGTTAACTCGTCCTCGCTAGGTATCAATTTTTGATGATTTGAGATAAGTTTTACTTGAACCTATTTTTAATCTTTTTTTAAACATGTCTATATTAATTTCTTATCTCATTTATTTTGATTTGGCTCATTTATGCCTCTACAAAATAAATAGAAGTTTTTTCTACAAAAAGCAGCATTAAGACTAAATCTTTTATTATCTTTCTATCATTTATCCTTATTTTTTTACATCTTTATACTAAGCTCTTTTATAATAACATTCATATTTTTATTTTTTACTATATAATCATATTACCACACAACACCATAGGTGGATTGTGATGTGTGAATTTGATATAAGTGATAGTAGTATACTCTATTGACTAGATGCAAGATTACACTCTTGTTGAATGGTTGATTCAAAGATCCTAATTGGTGATACAAGAGAACCTCTATAAAGTCATGATACCAAAAGCTTGAAGTAGTCTTAAAGTGAATTGAGTCATAGTCAAAGATAACTTTGGACAATTCAAACTATGGATTTTTTCAGAAACTCTCAATATTAGTATTATTCACCATGAAATCTCTAATATACTTAAACAACAATACAATATCTTACATAAGTAGCTTATCCATAGTAAGAATTGTCGTTGATTGTTGCCTAAGATTAGTAAATAACTCACCTTAATGATGTCAAGGATGAGCATTGTAGGTAGATTCTTTCATCGTTTGATGGTATTTTTTTAATAGAAATAATGATCTACAAGTGAAATTACGAGATGGCATATAATATCCTTCTTCATCCACAATCTCAAGTTTTTGAATCTTCCAAATTAAAAGCTCATTTGAATCTTACAAGCCACTCAATATCTTCTACGATCATTGATTCAATGTCCTTCCTAACTTTATTTCCTATCTTCTTACCATCATGTTTTCTTACTCTCTTTATCCTACCTTTTAAGTTTTCTCTTGTAAGGCTTATCTAGCATTTCTCTCCCAAAAATAAATTGTCAGTAATCCTATGTATCTTGAAAAACTATTATAAAGAACACACAACCTCGTATTATTTAATAGGTAAAAGTCTTGCTTAAAGCAATCATAAGATACAATGTGTGCAAATTTACATTTGAAAAGATAAATATATTCAACAACTCAAGATGAGATCCTCTCAAAAGTAGGCTGAGCATCATAATTGGAATAGAATGTAAATCTCAAATACCTGCTTCTTGAGAGAAATAATTAAAATTATTAATTATTAACCCGTGGCAGACCAATGATTAATATTGTTGGAAGTGGATTATGTCTTTAAAAAGTTTCTAAATTTTTAATGTAAAAATATGAATAAAATATTTTAAAACTTTTCTACTAAGTATTGGATATGATCAATGACTAAATAGATCTATCAACTACTTTAGATAGGATACAAATCAAAATAAGTGCAAATGCTATTTGATACATTATGAAAATCCTTGCCTTGTGAATGAATTTAGAATTTTGTTTTTATGTTTTATGAAACAAAAGTTTGAAAGAAATAATTATAATTAATAATTTTATTAATTAAATTAATAGAAGAAATTTAGATTATTAATATCTCTTTTGTAAATTATTATAATTTTTTTTAAATATGAATTGGATCTTAAATAGTTGTTTGATATGCTATATACTAATAAAGATTTTTTGAGGATTATTTTTGATGTGAAAATCTACTAAAAAAATGTATTTTACATCTTAGATATTGATTCCATAAAAATACTGATTTAGAAAAAATTATATAAATTTTTTTTTGTTGGCAATCGTATAGAATCAAAATCAAGGCCATTCTTGGTTTTTTCATTACTTCTTTGTATTCCAATCTTAATTCAAAACTTTCCAATCTTTGCAATTATCAATACTTTTTTATATTTTTAAAATATTCCTATATTTTGATTTCTTTTCTCCATTCTTTATTGTGCCCATACTATTTTGTTTTGCAACATTTTTTGAAATTTTTATCCTTGATATGTTTACACCATAATACGTTGAGCCCAAATTATCAATAATTGATGTGAACAAAAATCTACTTCTATCTTATTTATACTATTTTTGGGTTCATATTTAAGTAAATGTATAGTCATGGATTGCAGTAAATGAAATTTGATCGAACACAGGCTCCTCAAGCTTGTTGTTTGACATCATTTGTAACTTTATAAAACCAACTGCTGTGGTGGATGTTAAAATCGATGTTGGTTGTGGAACGGATGGTTGTGCATGATCATGACTGAAAAGGGTAAATAAACGCCTTTTGGACGTAATGCCCATAATGAATACCAGCTATAATTTCTGATTCACAAATAGCCAGCTTCTAGTTGGCAAGTGAAGCATGCGTTAAAAACACTGCTTGATATGTTGGGCTTTGAAGTCGTGCAAACGGGCCGCAAGCTGTGCATGATCATGACTGAAAAGTTCAACTTTTCATGCTCGAACTGTCCCCCACAAGCTGTTAATTTGACGGTAGACTACATGTAGGAGTTGGAGGTGTGCAGATTACCAATTTGTTTCAAGGCACAAATACAATTGTAGGAATTAAACTGTGCCCCAATTCAATAATTTTAACGTGCACATACAGTGTTATTCATAATCAAGGCATGGTGTGCTCCTGATATACTACCTAACCATTTTTGGTTCTGAAGACAAAATAGGTAATCACATAATCATCACAGTTCAGGAAAATAAAGTGAAAAGAACCCTGGTACTAACGCTGTCTGCCACATACGAAATTTCAGTGTTTCGTAGTTTCATTTCATCTCTTGGTCAATGACGAATCAAGGTTGAAACAACAGTAAGTACAGGTCACACTGGTTTCTCTTCGTCCACTAGAAGCTGCGTAATAGATGGAATGAGCTCCTTGGCTACTTCTGAGATGCTTCCCTGTTCCAAGAAAAAAATCAAGAGTTAATTGCAGATATGAAGTCTATGATCCAAACACGTCAGAAACTTTTTCAAACTTTATCTTTATTTTTATTTATATATATAGACAGATAGATATATATATATATACACCTTTGGCTTCCCAATCCGCTCTTGCAAAACTCCACTTAGAGCACCACGGAGTTCTTTAAAAAGAACGGCGGTTTGTGCAGGGGCGTTCATCTCCAACCATCCATCAACAGTAACTCGTCCAGTCTGTGACATTAACACATTAGTTCTTCCACTAAGGCATCCATTTTACAGCCATGGATATTTGAAAAAATTGAATTGAAGCTGGAGTTATATAGAGACATCTGAATGCTGCATTATTTAGAGGTATCTCCGAGGGTCAGGATAATGCTTGGCTCGACGAACTAACTTATGCTGCAGTGTCAACGTCTACTAGAAACAGGGAATGATATAAGACGCAATAAATGAAAAAGATTCAACCTGATGTTGAACACTGATCTCTCCGCCAAATAGAAGTAGATCATAAGGAGAAATAACAGTCGTATCCCGCAAATACACTTTGCTGGTCTCCACCTATAAATCAATAGCCTAATCGATCAAGAGTCTTCATACATGAAAGATATGAGCAAAATCTGATTACAAATGCATTCAAACAATTGTTTTTGGCAGACCCTTGTCGAGCACAAGCTTGGAATCGAAGAAATTCGATCGTTAAATCTTGAAGGGTTGTCCTTATTTGGAAGAACGACAACCGAAGCTCATTAAGTTCGATTTTCTGAACCACTGAAGTCTTGAGATTATATAGGTGATTGTGTGTTAAGTTGGGGAAGTTGAGCACTGACCTTCTCATGAAATACTAAAAAGGGTTGACGAAATTCCGAAACCATATGATTAACGGATGTGGGATGGATGAAAACTTCGCGGCGACCATCCGACCACTGAGGGCGTTGATCCGGAGAAAGGCCAGCCCGTCGACTTTGGGCGCTGGCATGCCCTGCTTGAATACTATCTTTGCTCATTGCTGCAACATTTGGATACAATCCAGCACAAATGGCTGCCTGGATTGCAGTAAGGATCAACAGTTAGGAGTTGATATTCCAACTGGATTATCGAGCTAAAACGGTTTTCGAGATGAGAGCTCGCATGATGTCCAATCAAAGACGAGGATGAAAACAAGAGCGTGGACGAAGTTTACAGCGGAATTACCTTCACTACAGATGGTTGAAGTGAATTTAGGTTAAAAGGTTGATTCATACCATCAACCCACTTTTCAAATCCTGTGTCATGTTTAGATTTTCCACCCTGTGTACAAAATTAAGAGGTGAGTAATCAACACGCGACGAAAACCATAATATGGAAGGCTACAAATTCAACGACGCAAATTTTGTAACAACTCCTAAAAATACAATCACGATCACAACCCACAAACCTCGGAGAAAGTCAGAAAGCCGATGTCTGCTAGCAAGCTGGCAAATTGAATCCGTAGGTCCCTGATAAGTTATAAAGACAAGAAGTCAGTATCATATTGTAAATTCGTTCGCAAACGTTCAGTGCAGCATAAAAATGATATAACAGAATACTCTCACCTCAGCATGATCAAAGTGGATATACTAAGAAAATTAGCGTGACAAAATTCACGTGCAGCTTTTCCTCCTTTCTGCTCCAAAGACAAACCCCAAAGTTAAAATTCTGAACGCCAATAATTTCCAATGAGAACAAGGACTAAACCTAGACGTCAAAAGATAGGCTTCATTACATACCTAAGACTAAGGTTATTTAAACTGTTTACAGATCAATTCCATCTGGGAAACATGTCCGCAGAGCCCATGTCTAACAGGAATAGATTGATTGTGCTACTGGCTAGATTAGCATTGCTTACAAATTTAAGTACCAACTGAAACTTTGAATATCCTCCCAGGAAAATCGCACCATAAAGGCGATAAAATTATGCTTTCATGTTACATTCAAAATCATCGATAAGCACAGCTCTCCATGATTGCATACCACTGCAGAAAGGTGGCTCCACATGTTGTACGCTGCTACCATGCACAAATGGTCCGAATGCTGTCCGCTTGCAATACTCACGGGAAGGCTTTTATCGGTCCTCTCTGCGACAAGTGCTTGCTTTGCCCTCTCAGCAGCCTCTCTCTGCCACACATTCCCCATATTATGAACAAAAGTATGTACTGGTGTCAAGCGGAGTCAGCAAAAATGCTTGTCATTGCATTAAAGATAAGCATAAAGAACATTTTCCAACATTCAACCTAAAAGCCACGTGAACAGAGAGATGCCCTATCGACTAGTGTCTAGGTTTTTGGAACACATTCTATCATGACCGTAGCAAATCCTCCACCTTCATGACTACAACCCACCACAAAAATCAATGATGTGGGTAAGAAAATGAAGCTCCTATAAATCAATGGGAGGCATGACCAATACTCGCTTCCAGACTGTACAAAATAGGGTAATTGATAACCTGATCTTTTGGTGAAACAAAAGGTGATTTGTAACTCAAGCAAGCTGCCACTGTGAGAACAGGACTCACGCACCCCAAGACTGCTCCATACAGCATCATCTAAACAGCACAGTGTCCATGTCACACAAAATTTGAGAGCATTGAATTGGCATACAAGCCAAACCTCTAGTGCCTGGATTAAGAAAATTGTGAACAAACTACAATAATCCCGAAGCGGGCGCACTTACTTCCCAGATCACTCAAAGGTAGACTGAAGAAAGGACGGAGTTAATACTCAATCATCGAACTCTGCAATAATAACTTCATGACATTCTTATAATAATGTGATTATTAAAATGCACTTACCAAATTTACACGATGAATTATACAACCCAGATTATTTGATGCGAGATATTGCTCACCTTGCCAATGCGGACATCAACGGGTAGAGCAGCCAAGTGATGACCTAATGCGGTTATCTCTTCTTCTTCATTTATAGCTCCAACCTATACATTTCAAGTCTTAGCATTCTCACTACATGCATAACAAATAGCGAAGAGCATTAAAACAGATATAGATAGGTGCATATGTACAGAAGAATCAAGCGGAATAAAATCCACCTCACGAAGAGTTGAAACTGCACTCGTCACTGCGTCTGCCTGCGGAGGTTCCAGAGCCTGCAATAATTCCACAATAAAATTTGAAAACCACAGAACATGTCATGACCAATTGTGAAGTAAGTAGCACGATCGGAACAAAAAAGGAAACCAAATGATTAAATTTGAGTAAAAATACAAGATCCTGTTAAGTAATAATTTGATAACTATTGTCGTACCTTCTCTAAGAAAGCAGCAATGTTGCCAAGTCCAAGAAGCTTGATTTGCAAGCCCAGCTCCACTAATGGAACTCGTAACATTTCTGGAAGCTGTGGTCAAGCATGTACATAAGCATAGTTGAACATGAACATAATGCGGCTCTGGTATAAATAATGCCTGAGACTTTACACTGCAGCGTCCATTTGAGCTCAAATAATTTGCCCAAGTCTAGTCCTAATACCAAGAGTACAAATAGAACTACAATGTCTTCGTAGTACAACAATCCAAGAATCAAACTTTTTGATGCAGGATGGACGCTGGATCAACAAACGAGAAAACAACGTACTTGGTAAGGCCGCATCAACTTCTCAAGTCGATTTCGAGTGAATAGACAGAAGCAGTTGCCAGAACGTACACGCCCAGCTCTACCTCTACGTTGTTTTGCATTAGCTTGTGAAATCCAAGACTCGATTATGCTTGACATGCCCTGCACAGCAAAGGCATCCCGTACTCAAAGGCTTAAAACTGCCAGAAAAATCAACAATTAAAACGTGAGATATTATAATCTACAGACAAAATCTCTTCCAACGCGAAACGAAAACCAGTCACAAATATTACTAGCATCCCCCCAAACTAACCTGAACGTTCAATAAAAAATAAGCAGTAAAAAAACTAATACATACACCATTAAATTTTACGGTAAGTATTGTTCCCAAATTGCAAGAAAGCTCCTACCCTGCGAGGATCGAAACGGTTCTCTTTGTGCTTTCCGCAATCAACAACATGCACCACATCATCGATTGTGATGCTTGTTTCTGCGATATTAGTAGCCAGAACTATCTGTACAAACAATAATATGGGTCAGAACCTCGCTATTGTGCTGAAAACAGATGTACTTGTAGCCGCTGTAAAAGCATCAGAAACGTTCGATCTTCTCTACGCCCAATACATACATATAAAATGAATATACCTTACGGATGCCTTTGGGAGGTCTTTGAAATGCCCGTCGCTGGTCCGCAGGAGCCACCGAGGAGTGTAACTGGATCAGCCACTCTGAAGCAGACCCACTAAACCTTCGAGAAACAGAAAGGCGTTCCCAAAGCAGCTGTATCTCTGCCAATCCCTGTAACACCCAATGATATTCCCACCATCGTTCCAAACGAGAAATCGATAAGCTTATCAATGTAACCATCTACTCTAAAAAAGGAATTTTCACGTAGAAAGTTATTTACACAACTAATCTACAGTATCTGAATCCATTGGAAGTGACAGCCGAACAAGAATCAAGTTATTAAAAGCCGCACCTGTAATCGGCATATTCATGAGCAGGTGTGAAGTTTATGGGAAAAACCATTCAGATTACAAAATGGCTACGATGCTGTGTTGGATTTTGTTATAAAACCAAGACTGCAAGCTCAACTGTTTATACGTTTTTAATTCGGCTAATCAAAATCAACATATAATTGTGCTTTTCGGCCCGGCATGGACATCTTCGTAGGTGTTGAAAAATGGATTCCTGGAATCGTATTCCGAAGTTCGAGATTTGAGTGACTTATGAAACAAAACCACGATAAGGTATTCTTTAAATGTATATCCTATTTCACCAATTTGAAAGCTGACTATAAAATAACTAAAAAATAAAAACAAAAGAAAAAAAGAGAAGATCTCAGATCACATATGCGACTTACCGGTAAAAATACGAGCACTGCACCTACTTCGCCTTCCTCATCAATATAGATAATTAAATCCTCAAGTAACTCATAGTCTATCACATCTTCATTCAGTCTTTCCTGAGACCAGCAAATGCAAGTCATATCAATAGGCTGTCCAAGTACCATTTAGAACTAAGAACTGAAGTACAAATTCTAGTAGGCTAGTAGCAATTCAACGAAAAACAATGTACGTATTTTTGCTACGAAGACATCAATTTTAACATACTAAACGGCATTTAGTACTGTAAACCCAAAAGAAACCAGCCGTGGTTCTGGTTAATCATTTGACAACAAAAAAACACAAAAAGCATTTAGTAATAACTCTTGTTGAACAAGCGACCCTACACAGAAGTAAGATTGGGTTTGACAATCATACCAAGTTTCTTCGTGTTCGTTCACTAAAATTGCGATAAAGATCTGGATCATAATGCGGGTTCACCAGTACATCCTCCAGTTTTGATTCATCACCCCAACCAGAATTTACCAGGTCCTGCCTACCCCTGCTATTATCTACTAAACGTTTTGATGCCTGTAATCAGCAAAGAGATATAAAAACCTTGAAAAAGAATAATACTCTGTAGAGGCATATGTAGAAGCATGTAGGAGGACATTCATCAAAGTTAATGGTCAATGGACCAAAAATAACGAGGAATACAATCCAGTCAGTAGCTTCTGTTCCTGAATGTATTAACTACTAAAATTATACAAAGAATTTCAACAATATGAACTTGCTAGAACCAAAATACTACAGCAAGTGTACCGTATCCAAACATGCTCCAGAAAACTCAAGCATATATCATATCTGAAAGATATAGGTCCCTCATAAAAAATAAAAATAAAATTTTAAACTGCCTAGAGATACAATCATTGAGGAGAGAGTGTGGTACCTTTTTCCTGTTTGCTTTGTAATCATTACCCATTGCAGCTGGAGAATCTGTTGCAAGTTTGTAATTAGACAGCTGCTCATAAACGTCTTCCAAAAAGTAAGTTGTTACAGGAAAAGTCCGCCCTTTTGCAGATATGACGGGACAATCACCAAAGTAATTCGAGAATAAATTAGAGTCCAAAGTTGCTGACCTGGATTGTAAAACAAGCGATATCAGTCAAAGTTGGTCTCCTCTAAGATGAGAAAACTAACATGAATGAAAATTGCAATATTGCGCAAAACATTGAGGAGTTGCAATACACTGAATTTCACTAACAAAGCACGTTAGAGAGATGACTAAGCTGGCGATTTAGTTTTTAATCTTTAAAGTAGTAGGACAAAAAAGGTAGATAAACTTACATGAGTATAAGCTTCAAAGGAAATCCACTTTCTCGCCTTCTTTCCAACAATTCCTTCAATATGACTAATAGGAAATCACCCTGCAAAAAAAATAAAAAATAGTAATTAATCAATGAAAATACTTGCAGAAAAGTGCCGTATTATACGTGTATACGTAAAAGCAAAAACCAAGCTTACTGTTGGTGCTTGCATGCTAGAGCACGCTAATATCACACTTTCAAGGCAAGTCAAGAAAAGTACCAGAACAGTACGTTCGTGAACTTCATCTACAATGACATGTGAGACGTGACTCAAATCACTGTCTCCCTGTGGTACATCACAAATAACACGTCACCATAATGATCCAATTGCGTACATGCACACAATGGAAGTGCAGAATACATTAACGAATAGATGCATTGCAAGCGACCAAGCGATCGGGGAGAGGGAGCATGGCTTAAGAAGAACCTCAAACTACAACAGCTGGCGAAGTTGAACATTCGCAAAACAGCACTAGCATAAGTTCAAAATAACGAGACGACAATCAAATTAGCATGATTAGCAATCGCAATGTAGTGAAAAACAACCGCAGAAAGAACTCACAGCTAGCCTTCGGAGTAGAATACCCGTTGTACAGAACAAAAGCTTGGTTCCTTGATGCCTTCAGCAAGACGAGACCGAAACAAATCCAAGTAACACAATTATATGAGAGCACATTTCACCATGTCAAATTGAGGAAAACTAACATTGGTTGCGTGTATTGTTACAAAACTTTGTCTCAAATTGTCAATATCACCTTAAACCAGGTCAGAATTTACTTTTAATTATCTCGCGAGAGCTCACAGCAATGATGAACACTCTGACATGTACATAAGGTAAGTTGCTAGATACGCTCAGAAAAAAGCAAACATTTTGACAATGATGAATCGGGATAGAATCAGGAAACCTAATGCACCTCAAAGTGATAAGAAACGTTACCAGGCAGTGTCGAGACGCACTTGATAGCCCACTAATGAGCCACTATTGCCAGGAGGCGGTTCACATCGTTCCACTGCCACCCTCTCAGCAACTGAAATCGCCTGACCACCACCATTATTTCATATATAAGAATGGCAATTAGATACAAAAACATCTATTAATTGATAAGAGTATATTTCATTTTATCTCTCAGATACCAAAATCGAAAAGAATTAATATGAAAAATTAGCTTTTTGCCACAGTTACACAGGCACAAGCCATATATAGGCACTGGTGTTACATCTGAGTCATTCACAGCTATCCTTGTACTTCACATATGAACTGAATTTGGAGAGAGGCAAGGCAACTTACAGCAATTCGCCGTGGTTGAGTGCACACAATGTTGCAGAAGCCGCCCCGTCCTGCAGCTATCATTTCATCCAGTATGTATTGTGGCACCTGTTCCAAGAAACCTTGAATCAGCCTGGTACAGGACAGGATAGTAAGAACTAAAAATCAAGGTTCTATCATAACAGTAGACTTACTTGAGTTGTTTTGCCACAGCCTGTTTCACCACCCACCACGACAACTTCGTTGCTCTCCACTTTGGCAAGTAACTCACTTTTTAAGTCACTCATAGGCAAGCCCGCTCTCAATTCCAACATTGCCTGTTCAAATTGTACATACGATCAAGTATTTCATCCACAATGCTCCGGCAACATCGAGATGCTGGGAAAACAGCTCAATAATGACTTCTCTCGAATACTAAAGAAGTATGTTTCAAAGATATTCTAGAAAGTACACACGGATGAAGAGATCGTAATGCAATTGATTTCTTACAAAATAGAACTTAAAGATAAATTACATACCTGATATTCTTTGGTTTGCGACTGTTGTTTTCTTGCACGTAGAAGACGAACACTTTCAGCTTCTTTCTTCGCCTTACTCCCTGTGCAACCAGATAGGGCAAAGATGTCGATTGCAGTTAACCAAATTACTAAGAATATATTCCCAAATACGGCTTTCATAAAAATAATGCTCTTCGACAACGAGGCCCATGACTAGCTATGTTTTACCATTAAACAGGTTATCCAAAAAAGTCACGGATAGAATTGACTTCTAAACGTGCTCGAAGTCAACTCAAAGTATTATTGGTGATATAGCATTTTCTCTTTGGCCACCAATATGAAGTTGAAGCAATCATTACCCTCATTTTTCAAATCCTTCCGGTCCACATTTTCCTCTTTCTGTTGGTTCAATATTTCCGTTGGAGTCTCAGCCGCCTTGTTGCCCACAGATGAAGAACCATCACGGCTTTTGCTGGTGTTTACCAACGACTCTACAAATGCAATCCTCTTCCCGACTTGCTCCTCTACATCTTGAGTCTTTGCATTTTGACCTTTCAGAATTAAATAAAAAGTTAGCAATGCAAAAGAAACAGTGGAATAAACGCAAGGAAACAATCCACCAAGACGCACTTAAAAAGCTATTACGTGATGACGACGAATCCAATGTATGGGAAAAGGGAAAAAAAAAAAAAAAAAAAAAAAAAAAAAAAAAGACGTAAAATATGACTATTAAGGAGAACATAAAGTAAATTGTTTCGATAAGACGAACCATCGGCAAGCCACTTCATGCACATTGTACGGTAAGGCTCTGGCAAGTTGCGATACAGAGGCAGTTCGGGAAAGAGCCAGAATAATGCCCGTGTGGCCACTGCATTTTGTGCTTCCTGTAATAGAAAAAAGATGTCAAAAATTAGTGGTGTCTTGAGGATCTTCAACGGGGTCAAAAAGTTTTAAAAACAACACTCATCAGAATTAAATAGCAGTAATGAGAAGTGGCCAATAATCAAAACAAGGACATGGGGGTGAACGTTAAGCTACCGCAATAGAGTTGAAACGGTCTTCCTCCTCGGGCAACCTAATAGTGACGGGACCTCCTACGATTTTATTCTTTCCACGACCAGTAGTGGGCTGGACGACGGTAACTGAATAGCAAAACTGTGAATGTTGTCCTGGAAATTTCTCATATTTGGGAGACGGCCACCCATTTTTCTGACAATGCTGCTGCAACACTGCCTTCGGTAGTCTCTGCTGTTCTACCTGTTGCCGATATCAGAACTTTTCAGTCCAAAGCGCAATCATGAGTTACAAAGACTCAAACGTAGGAGGAGAAAATCAACAACTAAATAAAAAGAGAAGACGATAATAATAATAATAATAAAACCTGAGGCACGGATTTGCCGCCTTTCTTTGATGCTGCGACTTTCTTACTGGCTGGTGATTCACCATAGCTTCCCCATGCAGTGAGCATCTCACGCTTCTGTATCTGTACCACACTTTGAGGCAAACTTTGATCCAAAGGTCCCTCCTCGTCAAACATTCCCAAAAGTCCTCCACCTTCTTCGACTGGTTCAGCACCTTTCTCTTTGGCAGCGGGTTGAACAATATTTGCCTCTTTCACAGGAATCTGTTTAGCCTTCCTACTCTCAGCATCATCTTTTGAAAGGTCATTCGCACCTGCAAAAGCAAATAAGTCAAACATAAAAAAAGTTTAATTGTAAATTCTGGCCTAATTCGAATGGCATCTTTTATGATTATACGAAATAAAATCAAACAAATACCTTTTCCTGCAGGCATCTCGTCAGCATATATGTTTTCTGAAGGATTTTCGTCGAACTCATCTTCTTCAGCCTTTCCCGATGCACTTAGTTCTCGAACTTCCCATGATGCAGGTACACTTTGGTTCCGAGATGCTGCTGCATCTGCGAAGCTTCGCACCTTTGGTTGGGCAGGTATATCATAATCTTTTTCTGACAAACCTGTAGACAACAGAACCTTAGTCACACTGCATGAAATGAACAGAAACCTGGAAAAAAATGAGACATACATCTATACACTGAGATAATTTTTAAAACAAATAAATAAATATGCGGTACTGAAAAAAAAAAAAAAAAAAAAAAAAAAAAAAAAAAAAAGTCACGCACAAAAACATACGGTACCCAGTTCAGCTTGTATGAGACCGATTCAACAAATTCTCAACTAGGTTGAAATAGTAGAGTACCAAGCACAACACAAACACCAATTGCGTCGGGCAAAAAAAGTTTTCTATGGAGTAGGCAGTAGTAACAAAACATTGTGCTGAGTTGGGTTATGCTAAAGCCGGTTATCATTGTATTTCTTGAACAGTACTAGCTTCACAATTTGATTAAACAAGTAAAAATTGGGCAAATAAAAAAAATTTAAAAAGTAAGAGCAGACCGAGGAACGCGAGTTCGGATTTGAGTTCACGAATGAGGCGGCCTGCAGCTGCTTGACCCTCCTTGTTTCCTTTCGCTTTTGCATCCGAAGCTGTATGCTTTGCGGCTTGATATCTTGTTATTGCAGCCTTTTTCTTCGCTTCCGGGTCAGCGGCCTGCAACGCAGGCCACTGTCCAACAAGTTTTAGATAGTCCATCAACTTTCATGAGATACCACGTTTTGTGAATGTTTTTTTCATACATTGTAATGGTAAACTATATTAGGTGTACTTGTTTTCAGGTACGATGTTTGAGTGTACACGTTTTAATAAGCATCTTGTTGTCCCTAGCCTACCTTGGTGCACCTAGAATTTAGCGAATTCTTATATGAGTGCGCCTCACAAATTACCTCAGTTTTCGAAATTAGTGATATTTTTCGTTATTAGTGCGGCTCGCAGTGATTGAAACAAACGGTGTACATGATCATCCTGATCCGGCAGCCCAAGAACTCCTAAACACAAAGCGTAGAGTACAGAGAATGATTCCTTGAATTTCTGCCCGAAACCCCACATGAGCTAAATCCCATGGTAATTATAAAATTCATTAGTCAACTTTCAAAGTTCATCACAATGGTGTCAAATAACTCAAATGTTCGCATAAGTTAAGATGTGAAAATTTAAGTACATCTTGAGCCGATTGTTGCTTGCGCCGATTTTGTTCACCAGGATCTCCCCACACCTAATCATTGAACCATCAGTATAGAGTAGCAATAAGAAGCTGAACCAAGAGAGATTTCCACAAAATTACGAAGACAACCTACTTCACAACAGCTCAAGAAAGTTGCAGTCCAGAATCAATTACAAGTGTCGGACAAGCACGAGAATCAAGTTAGAACAAAGATAAGCAGAGAGAAAACAATGAATTAAAGAAACTTAGTAATCGTACCTCCCAATTCAAATCATCTTCAGAGCTCTCCAATTCTTCATCCTCCGAGTCCTAAATTGCCAATCATGACCAAATGAAGGCTACTCGTTAAAAAAAAATATGAGTGATCAAACAGCTGATATCCCTACTCATTGCCGCAATACGAATAAACAACTAGAAGAACTGCGCACAGTTACCTCAGCCTGTTCAGCCATGTATCGCTTGATCCACTCGGCCTGTTCTGCTTTCACTTCATTCTCAGATTTCTTAGGTTTCTGAACCTTCTGAATCAAGGGCACATCCTTCGGAATCTCAATCTTCTTCTCAACGTAAGTCCAATTGGGTCGCGCAACCGCTAGCACCTGAGCTTGACCACCTGGGAACCACGACACCAGCTTTTCCGTTAGCATGATGGCAAAGACCATCAAGATAAATACGAGGCCACTGCAGATGAAAAAGTGACGAAATGTGACCTAATCTGATCAGAAGAAATCAAACAACACAATCGAATACATTGTGGTATTCGGGCTTTGCGAAACTACGAAAGACAACAAATCTATCGGATTGCAAATGGTAGCCAAGTCAATTGAAGTATTTCAATACCTTCTGGGTTTGCAACTTGAACACCACTGCTGAATTTAGATGGTAGCTCGTTCGGGGGCAGATTTAAGCACAACCAGTCAAGAGCAGCCTCAAGTGTTGCACCACCCTACTCATACAAGAAAACGATTCAGCGTACCAGCATAGGTCCTGGGAGTAATACAAGGAAATCGTGACTCAAGGTCCACTGATTCCGAGAGACTCGGAGCCAAGCTGTGATAAACCTCTCGGATACTCAAACTTCAAATGCATGAGAATCTATGACTGGAGGCGCTACATAAAGCAGAGTGCGAGTCTTAAGAGATTTGCTCCATTTTCATGACAAGGTTCCCAAGAAACCAGTCTAACGTCGTTTGCATTTCGCTACAGCTTGCCGAGCTAGGATTTGATCACTGACTTCTCAAAACGGACAATTCTGTAAAACCAAACTAGAGCTAGTTCTTCTTCAGAAAAAACTCCACTACTTCCAAACCAATATCCAGTCCACACAGCCAATGTCTCATGCATTACGATCAGAAATTGAATTGAGCCGAAAGCAAGAGGCGGTGAGTATACCAAGGGAAGCTTGGAAAGTGCAGTTTCACATTGGGAGGCGGTAAATCCTTCAGCGACGAGGTGATCGTAGATATTCTTGAGACGCTTCACAGCCTGCCTTCTCTGCCCTTCAGTAAGAGATTCCTCTGCTTGAGGCGTGGATTGACTACCGCCCCCGGAATTCAGAAGCAATCTACGCAACCGAACCTCATTCTCCGACGACAAATTCACTCGGGCAGCTCCACGGCTCGCTCCTTGATTCCCAGCAGCGGCAACTTTCGCTCCCTTGCTGGACTCACCCGCCTTGCCAGCTCTTTTCGCCTTGGTCTTCTTGGGAGGCATCTTGTCAGAATTCGATTACGAGCTTCTTACCTCGCGTACATTCTGCCACTACAAAACCGAAACCCTAACTATCAAGCTCCACAAATCAACCACAGACAAAAACAGGACATACGGAGTTTGAATCAAATTCACATGGCGAATTGACAATCACAACCGGCCAATTCAAGTTGAGATTCCAATGCAGAGCGCACAATGCGAGGTGCGCGGCGATGGAATCATCAGAGACTCTACCAAAACAGGCTCATGATCGCGTTGCAACCAACAAAATGAAGGAGGAGCAATGCTTCAAACTCGACCTCGCTCTCAAATTAGGGTTTCACAGTTACAGATCCCCAATTCCTCAATCCACCTCATCAATACTTCCATTGTCGATGCTTTTATGCCACCAGGCACTATCTCGCATTTTAGGCTCTGGAGTGAGGAAATTCTATTTTTTTTGTGAATGTTAGTGTGAATGCTCTATTTCTTATATCTTTTTGTGGTCCCCATTTTTAGCTTTCAAATTGTGACCCTTTTTGGTGATTGTTTGGTGCTGGGGGACGATTTTCACAGATTTGAGGTGAGTTCTTCAGCTCATGAGAGATTTGGGATGATACTGTTGCAGATATCCAAATTTTGTGTGGGTGTGTAATTTGAAGTATTATCTGATTCTGGATTACTATTAGCATTTTTTTTAATATATTATATTTTGTTTATAGATATATTATGTGTAGGGGAATGTAAAATAGATCAAGTCTTTTACTGAATTGACCCACCCATCATGAAAAAAAATGACCTCTAGATTAATTTTCATCATGATTATCATATTCTTCATTCTTCATCATGGGAAGATGGATTTAATTAAAATATGAGTCTATTTAACATTCCCCTGTATATATATATATATATATATATATAATATAAGTAGATGGGTAGAAAGAGATCATCTAAACAACAAAAAATTCCATCCATACCAACTTTCTAACATCAAGGGTAATGTCATTCTATAATTGTTAATAAATAATTGGTATTTTTATATTTATGTATGTAGTTGGTGGACTTGGAATAGTTCATAAATATACACCAATCATTATTATAAAAATCTGTAAAATATTTGTTAATCAAAATGTTATGAATAGGAATTAAAAATGCCAATATGCTTACACTCAAAAAACAATAAACATCTCAGTTTTTTTTTTTTGTATTATTAAAATTAAATCATATGATTACTCTTAAATACTATCCAAGTGTATCTTGTAAAATATCAAGGTATACAAGACACTTTAATTTTACCACCTTATTAAGCATAATTGAATAAGTTAAATTACGATTTTAAAAAATTGTAAGGATTTGAACTTGAATCATGTTTAAAAGATTTGTAAAATTGATAAATTAAGTTATATGATTTAAAAACTATACCAAGTTTTCTTGTATATTCATAGTAGCATAGAAGATACTTGGTACACTTAATAGTATTAAAACAAGTCATAAATCTTTTTGTGTCCATTGATTGTTTTTTTGGTGTTATTGAATCATTCTTAAATGGATTATTGAATGCCTTATTATTTTCCTTTGCTACATGTAAGTATATTGTGACAAAACAGTATTCACCTTTATACAATATGAAATAGTCTTTTTATATAAAGTTGTTTTATAATAGATAGACACCTTCCTACCTTAATAATATATATATATATATATATATATATATTCAAATAATGTGGTGGACAAATACATTCTTTCTCTCAAAAATCTGCTACTTATCAGCAAACAAATAAATATCCTGCAAATTTGGTAGGTACAACACTGTACAAGACTGTACCCATCAAAATGATCTATTATGTTTGGCCTCAAGAAATTCACGACCAGTTAGTTTTTCAGTTGTTTGACAAAGTTGCACAAAGGACACACTCTTTGTGCACAGGAAGGGGACAAATACCATTGAAGTGGAACTGCGAGATACTTCGTTTGCATAGAATGTGATGAATTCTACACTTTTCATGTCGTTGGTTTCCCAAAGCTTTTAGCATTCAGAAGGTCCATTTCATTATGTTGCCGTCAGCTATGCTAGAATAGAATCACTGAGGGACCTCACATTGTCACAAGTTCACTTGTTTTGCAGCTGTAGATGGCAGCAACTGCTCTGCCACACCTTCACATAACAGTCAAAGCTTCTTTCTCATTTGGGTATCTTATCTATTGAAAGGTGCCTGTTTTGGCACAATTCATAGCTCCAACGGTGATCAACGAAACTTGAAAGCAGAAATGAGATACTGCAGTCTCAAAACAGATAGACCCAAAATGAATACAATCTGATCAACAGTAGCAGAAAAACATGGTGCACTACACAGAAGAAGACCACTGAGGTTTCTGATAGCAGAGAGAACAAAACCAATTCGTTGTTTTCCTAGTTTTTCAAATTCACAAGCCAGTGACAGAGCTCTTGCCATGGATCATAAGATGAGACTCACTGTGGCGCCCGATTTGTGTGCTCTGGATGTCACCAGTTCAAAACACCAAGAATATTGCTTGAACAAAATATGACAACCTGCGGTTAGAACTTGACCAAAGCCTGCACCCAATGTAAGCCACAACACATGATAAAAGTTTGATGTTGTTTATACTAAAGACGCTGAATGTTGATGAATCGGTGGCAAACATAGGAGGCTGGAATCGTGAGTGGTGAATAGTTCCTTACAACGGTTGAAATCGAAGGTCTTACTGGTTAGTTCTAATCGACTTTAGCTCCCAAAATTATGATGAGTTCCATACACATCAAGAATGGACCCACAACTTGAAGCTGTTATGGAGATGCTAGCAGTCAATTCCTTGTGCAGTAGGTGAAGTAACTGTGAAGGTGGAATTTGGAATACATGTATACACAAACATACAAACGTGTAACAAAATCAAAGCGATTTACTTGTACGAATGTAATAGTATGCATAGTTGAGCTTTTAGTATACATCAAATACAGAATCAACATCACAGATAAAAAGTGAAAGCTGTGCATGAAACTCAGAACAAATGATACGTCTAAAACGTCAAAGGAAAGATGTATATATATATATATATATGTTACACAAGAACACATTTTTTAGTTACAGATGTGTAGCGAGAACGTTTGAGAATGCATTGATTCCATTTTTCATCGTCTTCCGTGATTCCATTTTTCATCGTCTTCCGTGATTAGCGTCGGCGTTGCACTACGGACAAACTTCGACAGGACATGATTCGTGATGTGGAGCTGCACTGCACGTCGACGAATCGGAGCAAATGCGCAGGGACAAGATGAACGGACCCATCAAGTTGGCCACAATCTGTCTCGCTGCGGAGTGTGCTGCGGGCCGCGCCTCCGACAGCCCTCCTTCTCATCAACCTGGACACGTTCGAACGATTCTCGCCGCAAAATCGCCTTTTCCAACATCAACACTTACACATACACACACACACACAGCCAGAACTCGCACGTGTCGGCCTGACTCCCCTACTTTTATTTTCGTCGTAACCTTCAGGATGTCGTCGCTGGCATGTTCTTCGAAATCGAGAGATTTTCATGAGAATGTGATGACTGCGCCGAAGTCCCACTACACACTAGAACGTCCTGAGATAACTGTTGCGGTGCGACAGTATGATTTTTATCAGCAGCACGTCGGTTTGAACTTTTTGCGCGATCTAAATCCTCATGGCATGACTGCTCTCGACCTTGGTGTCGAGAAATCCTATATAAACGATATGCAAGCCAGGAATAGATATGCATATTCATTCAACTCTCTTCGAGTTTCAGCAGATAGTTCACGCTCGACCTCAATCGTTGCGCAGATTACAGCTCACCATGGCGTCGAGCATCAGGATGTTCAACTCACTGGCGGTCCTGGTGGTGGCTGCGACACTCCTGGTGAGCTGTGCTGCAGGCGCGCACGGGCTTTGCTTCGAAAACAGTCTGAACGAACCCATTGAAATTATCTATGCTGTGCGGGGGGGACAGCTTCGGACTTTTGTTGTTGCGAGTGGAGAACGGTTCACACTTCCAGCAGGCACACGGTTCCCTCTTGTTTCCCTGACGATAGTGTCCTGTGAAGTTAGATACGTGGTGTCTTCGAATGACCTCGTAAGAATCCTCACTGCAGGGGCTACGGTTGTCGTCGGCACGGGCGTCTGCGGACAGAACGGTCTTCAAGCTTGTGTGTGGCTGAACGGAACGAAGCTTACTTCGATTTGCCTCAGTGCTTCCTCGTAAAAGCCACAATCTTGTGTCTTCTCGCTAAGAAAACTACATAACATTCTGCGTCCATGTGCGAACGTACTGTGCGTTGAACACAATTTTTCCTTCTACTCTTATCAGTCTCTCTGATCATAAGTACCTTCTCGTGGCCGAATGAGTCGAAATGCGACTACGGCGTAGTAATCTAAAGTATATCAGCTCAGTTTTGTCACCAAGTCTTCAGATGTTACATTTGTTGTCAACGCTTCTGGACTCATAGTTCGACATTGTTATTTTTACACGATATCGTAACACCCCATAAATGACAAATCTGCATTCATTTTACTTCCGGTCTACAATGACACTCTCTCTTTCTCTCATTGAAAGTGGGTGACATGAACTGCGTTTCTCTTCACGGTAACATGCCTCCATTGAATGCTTAGCGGCAGCTGAATTTCACTCTTCTTGCAGTGCACATTGAAATGTTGTAATATGGGCACATTAGCTCTACTGTTAATATTTCTAGTGTTGATGATTTATTGCTTTTAATGTTGGTATCAACTTCAATTTATAATTTGTGATCAAATTCTCATTTGAATGGTTGTTATATTCTGTAATAGACTTAATTACATGAAGTTTTGATTGTGAGGATTTGTACTAGACAAGAGAGTTTCAAAGGCAATTCATGTTACTATTGGAAGGGTTTACATACAAATATCAAAATCAATACTTTATAAATATACATCACATCAAAATTATACATATTGTGATATATATTTATAATTTATATATCACAATAGATTATAAATATATATCACATCAACATCAATATGATATCAAATATCAACATCTCTTAAAGGAGAAAAATATATTCACATCTTTTACCACTATTGTTGTTTATAATTAGAATGATCCAATTGGACTAACAAACATAATTTATATCAATTTTAAGTCCTTTTTAATTTCTCTTAAGAAAATCCTCTTTAAAAAATTCTTGTTTTTTTCATATTATTGATGAGGATATTTCTTTGGACAAAGATTTATTTTTCTTCAATCAAAGCTTGCATAAATTACAATTTAAAATTATTTTAATGACATGTATTGATAAGTTTACAAACCTTAATAAATATCTTAAATAGAAGTTTAATATAAAGATACAAGACCTAATCAATAAAAATTAAATTAAATTACATTAAACATGTTATTAGAGTAATGTTACAAATGTTAAATTAAAATATTATATACAAAGATTTTAACTTTGTATCAAATAGGGCATTGTTTTGTAATTTCTTTCAAAATTATCAAAACTAATTACTAGATGATTTGGATCAAATTTAACATTTATTTGTAAGAATAGAAATATGCATTTTTTATTAAAGATATCTCTTAGAAAAAGACATCATTGTAGAAAAATAAATCATTTGATTGTAAATTAAAACATGCAAACAATTCATTTCAATATCTTTACAAATCCAATAATTCATGTTTAAAATATTTTATATTATCAAATCATTCTAAATGGTATAAAATCTGGTCTTTCTTTAGGTTTTTTTGTCCATTATTTTAGTTGAATACTCTTAAATTTAATAATATTTTAAAGGATAAAAAAAATGTAGAAAAAGACACAAAGTCTTTAGATTTATAATAAAGCATATTTTAATATTGAATGGTATTTGGTAAAGTTTGTGTGCATATTTCTCAATATTTTAAATAAAATTAAGATTAGATTGATATAAGTGTGATTTTAGTAGATGTTAAGAAATAAAGACACAAGCTAAATATGTTGGAGTGAACTGTGTTGGTAAGTTTTCAAAATTTAATCAAAATTTACACATGCTAATAAATTGAAATTCCATAAAAACCTTTCAAAGTTCCTTTCTACATAATCAGCCTTGTATTGTCTTGCATTGCATCTTCCTTCCTCTAATTGTCTTCAACATACTCTCATACTCCACATGCATCAATCAAATTACAAGTGGGGCTGGCATAAACCCTAAACCCTAAACCCTAAACCTTTGCATACAAACAAATTGTACAAAGTATCCATGTGAATTTTGTTTCATCTCCATATTCAAGGCTTCATGTAAGAATGTTGTTAAATATGATATACCTTGATTTCCAAATGCTTAAGATCAGATATGTCCGCAGGAAAGCTGAAAGTATCGAATTGTTGTAGGTGATATAGTTTTTACTGTCAACACTGTAATTGGTTGATACAATTTGTTTTAAATATTCTCATGCAAATTTGACCTGCCAAACATCTGAAAGCACGATTTAGTTGCTTCTTATATTGGATCTGGTTCATCCTTGTACTTAAGATTTTGGCAAGCTAGATACATGTAAATGCACGTGATTGGTGGTTTCATTGGCACAGAATCGTGATGGGCGATACTTCAATGCATTTGAAAACCACGCTTCAAAGCAAACCAAACAAACTTGCAGAGACAAAACACAGAGAGGGAGAGTGTAGGTATACCCGAATTCATGTCAATGACACACACTCATAGCTGATTTCAGTTGTCGTACACGTAACTTGCAACATTTCACCAACTTCCTGATGCAGGGGCAACAAGTTCTCAATATGCCGTTCGAACTTTCACAGAAAATCTGTACACATCAAAAACCTACTCACTCAGTACAGACTTGGACTAGAAGATACTCCCATTAAACTTCTCACTATAGCCAGTGTATAGGTCGTTTCATGTCCTGGTCTTTTGAGATGTTCTGCTAATCCAACGGGCGCTTGAAGAAGTTGAGTATCAAACGATTGCAAGAACACATTCCACCTTGCAACATCAGTAGCTTCTCCTGAGGGATTCGGATAATTTTCGCAATGATTCAACCTACTCCACCACGTCTAATTCAGAAAAGAGCATCGTTGGAGAGCTCAGATGAAGAAGAGATGATGGACTACAACCTATTCCTAAGAAACTATGCTTGAAACTTCAGGCATTCGAAAATTGAAAACCAACGCAACAAAGAAATAAAAGAAACGCATGGAATATGCATCCATACCTCGAGCTTGTGAGAAAGATATCCTATTACCTCAGATAAATATATATATATATACTTAACCACTCATTTGCCCGTGAACGGTCGGAATCCCATCACGATACTCGTTTCATAAACGTGTTCCTACTCCACGAGCCAAAAGAGAAAATTCAGGAAGATGCTGCGAATCCGAAGAGGTATGCAGCAACAGAAATGCGCCTGTTCCTGTACAGAACCTACCCGTTCATGACGGATAAGGCTATCATCCACAGAGTGTCGTGGGTTGAAAGGGCAATTGTCGTGAGTCCCTGGCCATCCCCAGTCAATCCATGTCACACCAGCTTTTCCCGAGCCTTTGCTCGCAGTACCAACGCTTACTTGAGCAGGCTCGGATCCCTTTGAAATTGGAATTTGTCGGCTGCCCCTTTCAGAGGAATTCTCTAAGCTTTGAGATGTTGAGCCAGAAGAGCCTTGAGATGTTGGGCCAGAAGAGCTTTGAGTCTGCGTGGGTCCTGCGTCAGCAACAGCCGGGGCTTGGCCACTTCTGTGGTTAGGACAGGATTCTGGCTCATTGCAGGTAGGAATGGAATCAGTGGTATTCTCAGGGGAACTGGTTGAGGAAGAGTTTGAAGAGGATTGATGGGGTGATTCTCGGCAGCTGGTTTGCGCCGAACACCGTTGAGATTCTTTGATAGATTGGAGTGAATTGACAGCACGCAACAATGCATGCGTGTTGGAGGGATCAAAAGAAAGACCATGGAGGCTCCCGTACAGACTAACAGCGTCGAGTTTGTTCTCTTGAATTGGACGTGTGATCTGAATCTCCCCATTGTTCTGAAATCGGAGTGGACGAACCGAATTGCAACATATACTGTTATGATACATCACTCTTCGACATGCTTATGGCTCTGAAATCATGATGAAGGATAGGGACCAATGAGCCAGCTCGCTGAACTTCACGAGGCCATCGTGATCAAGTATTCATGAAATAATGCGGAGGATCACTTTCGGAATGAAGGATAATGGCCAACATCAGGACCTCCTTGATCATGCAACTTCGATGAACAATCCTGATAGGCATAATAGCCTAATTCCCACTTTCTCGCAGATCCACTTCCTTCCAGCTGTCCTAATCACTTGGACAGATGTCAGGAATTACATTTTCATAAAAATAAAATAAAAAATAATTATTTTTTAAAACCAATCTATTTCCAGGCGATGTAAAAATTCTGCCTCTGTAATCTACCATATCTACAATGACGCTTAGCGCCTCTTCTGGCAGCAATTCATGATCCCCTAACGTCAACATTTCCGGGTTCTTGAAATTAGAAATCTGAAGAAAGACGTACCTTCACCGTAATTTGCACTTTTCGAATCGAAATCTGTTTGCCCCTACTTCAATCTCCACGTTAAAAAGGTTTTTCATAAGACTTAAAACAGCATGCCTACACGAGATTTGGATTAAGATGGAGACCTCCGTGGTTATGCTGATCCAGTACCGCGTCGTTTCAGACAATTAAGCGATGAACAATGTGCAAGATTTGCGATAAGAAAAGGTAAACCCAGCAAAAGTGCTTATGAATAAGATCGATTCGGAAGAAGAAGAAAGGATTGAGAGCAGAACTTCCTTAGGTGGCGGTAATATTGCCAGAAGTTTCACTCCAGAGGCAGCACAAAGACTAAGTTGTCTTCTACCAACGTTTCACATGGACTACCAAAACCTGAACCGCCGTCTTCACTCTTCAGCTTTGTTTTCTACAAACTTCCAATGTCTCTCCTCGTGATTAGATGCATCTTATCAAATCATTAGCGTAACCTAGGTCGTGTGCTGATGCAACCGATATCGTTTCCAAAACATGTGCCAGTTCCGAAAAATGGTTCAGCTTTCTGCTTGAAGTATAATACCAAACGCTAGTGTCTCGTTGACACTGGAGTAGATAGCTTGGTATCATCCAGAGACGCCATTTTTCAGAACTTTGTAGACACTAAACAACACAACGGTTACAAATTAGAATTACCATCACAATCAGAAATAGAGGAATCAACAGCCAGACATGAACTCATTCACTAACAACACCTTCGAGATCAGTGCATATAGAATGTGAAAGCGTACGATCACGCGCTAAGCAGACCTTCCCGCATGGTAATTACGAGCGCAAGCCAAAGCTAATTCTTAGAAACTTGGTAGGTTCCAAGGTGGACGGTCTAGTTCAATCTCACTGACTAATGGTCCAAAATTCACGAGAAGTGTGTTCTTATTTAAAATTGAGTTTGGCATATCGTTCTAACTGTAGAATAAGGACAGAAATTCACGTATCAACTTCTCTTAACCTGATGTGAAGAAAGGACGGCAGCAATTGCATTCGACAACTTCCACCTCCAGATTTGATACAAAGGGCTACGAGTCACGAACAGGAATGATGCATCACCAACTCTTCTTTCTTCTCACAAATCATAAGTTGTAATGTGCGTAATCACTGAAGTCGGTCTTGAGTTAATTGCAATCGCGGCAACTCAGCAATCCTCCTCCGCTGCGGAGATACGAGGCTGTGTCCCGGACCCCACTCGGCACAAGCCCTCGTTTTCAAACGCCTCCATTCGGAGACGACGACGGTTCTGGAGCAGAACGTCACGTCCTACCCCTGGTCACAAATTCTGCCCAGAATCGTTGCGGAATCTGCCGTCGATCAGCAACGAACTCTGTTCTGTCTTAGTTTCCAATTTAACTGGAAAATAAAAAGTAAGAAAAAAGGAAAAGGAATAGACATAGTTACTTTTTTTTAGCTCGTCTCCCCTATATTCTCATGTAACCATATTTTGCTATTATATGATTTAAAAGCTATCTCAAAGACCCAACTAACTGTTTTAACACCTTGGTATTATCTTTAATAAGAAAGAATTATACAATTACTTCGTGATACCAATTTTTATAAAGATTCTCCTTTTATATTAATTCTAAATGGATTCAAAGACACTTATACATCTTACACACAAACATGTATACACTTGTTTCATATAAAGTCTAGTAAAGTGTATCATGAAACATAAATTGAACAAGTAAATTGGATGTTTTGTCATAATTATAATTTTTTCACAGTGATTTTCAGATGGTGTTCTCAATTCAATTTGGAAAACAATCAAAAATCTAATTTTAATATTTTAAAAATCAATTTTTAAAAGAAGTCACACAATGATTTTTGATAAATAGATACTAATTATTATTGAAACTTTATTCATGAAAAATAATAATGTATTTAATCATATAAGTACTTGAGTGACTTTTAATTTAATTCTCATGAAGATACTTGTTCTATATATTTAATAATTTGGAAAATTTGCTACACTAGAGGAAAACAAATTGGAAAAAAAAACATTTAATATAGCAATTTTTAAAAACCAATAAAACTTTTATTCATAAATATTCTTTTATTATTGAACTTAAATTATCATCATAAATTCTCTTATTTATTTCAAAGAGGGAGAAGATATATATATATATATATATATATATATAATTTATTATTCTAAATTTTACTTTCAATTCATTCTATTTTTTTTTTAAAGCATCACATTTAAACAAGGGAACTGCTAGGTGAACACTCCACACACATATCCTCACAAAAAATAAATAGTTTTGATTTTAAATGAGATTTTTTTAGCTTTTATTTTGTATTAGTGAAATATTAAAACCTAATCTTTTATGGTTTTACCATTCAAAAAAGAAAATTGACAAAGGTTTGCAAAGATGAAAATTTTAAAGGGTGAGAAAATATTGAAGAATAAAATACAAATAAATAAAGTTATATTAAGTTGGAGAAAATAGTAATAAACACAATTTGTATCAAGATTTAAAGTAAAAACTAGTTATTTTGTGTGGGAGGTATTGGTGCACCAAAAGGGGAGTGTTCACCCAATAATTCTCTTAATAAAATGTGATCCTAAGCAAACATTGGCATTAAATCATCTTGAAGTTTCTATAGCTAATCATAGATATTTCAAGAATTTTAAAGTTTTTTAATGTGTTTTAAAAGAAAAGATTTGAACATGATGTCATTTGTTATTGCTCTATAATAAAAATGTAACATTGAAGAGCTTAAGCAAAAGCCAAAAAGACAATAGTCCACAAAACTAGATCTATGATGTGATGTAACAATCAACACATTTTTTTTTTTGAGATAATTAAAAATTACACTAAAGCACATTCTGTATATTAGTGTTAAAGTTCAGATGGAACTGTGTTAAATGTATATGCCTAAATTAATTTTCTCTCTTAGAAAAAGACAAAAATAAAATAGAAAAATATAATATGAAAAAAAAAGGTAAGGAAAATTTGTATTGATTTATTTTCAAATATAATGCTGATTTTTACTTATGTAATTGAGATAAAACTGTATTTGTAAAATTTTCTGATAATAACCCCTAAATTTGGATTATTTTTTCTTTAAATTGTCTAATAATATAATTAAATATATGATTTTTTCAAAGAGGTATTTTCAAGCACACATACGAAATATCCAAAATGAAAAAAGTGATTGTTCAATAGATAGATGCTTTTTATGGAATTCTATGCTACACATCCATGATGCAATTGCTTTGAAAGACAATTTCAACAGATTGTGGTCTTTAACTTGAGTTCTTCATACCCTCTGTTAAAAAAATTACATGCCTTCCTTTAAAATTATACATATTGTTTTTATAGTAAAGTATAGTTCTTTGTAATAAAAACCAAATTTATTTGAAAGGAATTTCAATAGTGTAAAAAAATCCTAAAATAAATAAATAAATAAATAAATAAATAAATAAAAACACAATCCATATGTATTATAATTGCCATAGTTTTTAATGCTCAAATAAAATTGACAGTGACAGTCTATTCATTCTTAGTCCATTTTATTTTACAACACATGGTTCTTTTTAGAATAAAAAATACATAAAACAATTAAAAGGTAGTATTGCACTCACACATCAAGAAGAAAGCACGAAAGCATTTTTTAGTAGTTTTAAAGACATTCAATTGAAGAGATACATAAGTTGTCTAGAACCAAATTTAAGCAAGTGCGAAAAATTAAAATGTGTAATATTTATTAGTTGAATTATTTATAATCTCATTTATTATTTAGACATTTCAATATTTTTAAGATTATTTTTTACTTCAAAACAATCATAACCATACTATTTAATTCTTTTTTCAAATTCAATTTTCCTTGTATTTTTTTCTTATAGTTCTTTAGATGTTTGTACTTTAAAATCTATTATTTTAATATATAATGGCATTAAAACTATAAGAGTAAAAGATAAGACATATTTAAATGTTTAAAATAATATATCTTAGATAGAGAGTACTATGTGTTGGTGTAGTTGTAATACTAGAAGGTTGGATGCTTTAAGAATGTTTTGCTTTATTTTCCAATCAATAAAGAAGATTAGTGCTTCTATTGATACATTAGAAGTGGATAATGCTTGGATATATTCTTGGGTGGTTTAGCTAGCAAAAAACTAATAAAATAACATTCTTTTATAGATTTATTTTACATCATAATAAAATAATTTCAGTAAGTTATAATGAAAATAATCTCTACGATTCTTTTTTACATTTTTATATTTTGTAGTACTTTTATCTATTTTAAAGAAGAATTTTTATGTGATGTCATTTATATTTCTAACTGTTGATGATTTGACACAAATGTTTTATAATCAATAATCTCATATCCAATTCAAATTTCATAATACCATGTTATAATTTTTTTTTTTTTTATTATAATGTTAAAATGACTTAAAAATTTCTAAATTATTATCTAATTAAGATAAACAAGAAATTATTGGCTTTGTTTAAGAATAACACTATTAATTTTGAACAATGTAAAAACTAGACAATGAAGTGGAAGGTTGTTTATTTAGAAATGGCACCATTCTTACACACAAGATCAACAATAAATTTCATACAAATTACATATCCATTCAGTATTTGCAATTTGAATCTATATTATGACATATAAATAGCCTATCATACTTCAAAAGAATACATCTATGTTTTCTAATCCATAGAATTTGTTATTAAATTGTTTTGTACTTCATATCAATGCCAAAGTTACAAATTGAATTTTAGTGCTTATAAATTACAAATTGAATCTTATAAGCACTAGTGACCTGACACTTACTCCCCTAAGTGTAGAAAACCTTCTAAAAAAACAATAAAGCAAAAGATGAGCAAGTGAGAACAAGAGAAACAAAACCTTCGTAAGATCAACAAAAGATGGGGCAAGATGAGTATAGAATAATTCCTTCAAGATAAGATCGAAGCACACCACCTTTTATTTTTATTATTATTATTATTTACCAGTAACAATCATCACCCGAAAATTCACTCTTTCATTTTCCCAAACACTTTGCACCCAATGGAAGTAAATGGCTCCTTTCCAAGGGCGAATAGCACAAAGCCCAGAAGCAGCTACATCAAAATCTATTCTTTAGAAGAGTTTTATTTACTAGTTTTATAACGACAAGCATCCTCTGCAGTTCCATTCAGCAAAAAAATTAAATACGGGCAACCCAATTGTAGAAAACAAACAAAAAGCAGAGACTCAGAAGAGGGCTTTTCGTTTTATTTTTTTATAATTTTTTTTTTATAATTTTAGGGCAAAGCAAAGGCGGTGTGTGTGTGTGTGTGCGCAATGATGTTCGTAGCCGTCCTGGAGAATCATGCCATGACATTTAATGTGCAGAATCTTCTGCCACAAAATAACGAATTCCATGGAATGTGAGTGCCGACTCATTTTGCATGGAGCACGATTCATGAAGTCGATTCTCTTTCTGTCTCTGACTCTGTCTGTGTGTGTGTCGCTTTCTCTATCCATGGCTGCATTCAGAAAAGCTTCACGTGAAGCAACGTGAGTGTAGTTTTACTGTACTTGGAATTGAAGCAAAGCTGTTTTTGTGTTGTTGTTGCAAAAGTTTGTACAGCGATGGAGATGGTGCGTGGAGAGGATGAGAGAGATGTAGAAAGGGGAGAATGGTAATGGCAGGACATGGCGGAGCTTGTGTGGCGCCGTAGCCATTCAGGCCGATCGTGTGATAGTTAAAATTCGGTGGTATGGGTAAACTTTTCCCTTCTTCTTAAGCTTCATTTGTTTTGTATTGAAGTTGCTTACCGCTGCTGAGAGTGGGTTTGACGTGACTTGCGACGATGGCGAGTGGTGTGTGGAAATTGTGTCTGCAATTGTTTTTGCAACTGGTGTAATCACGTTCATTTGCTCGGTGAGAGTGTCGAGGGGCGTGGAACCGGGAATGAGTGCAGCAGCAGGGGTTCTAGTGCGTGATTCGGGGGTTTCGCTTTTGGCCCTGCACGCGGTGGACGTTGAATTGGTCAAATGCATTAGTGTACATCTGGAAAAATGTGTGGGAAATATTCTGGGAAAGGTGGGTGGAAGAATTAGAGCGCCGGATGGCGATATGCTGATTTATGCATGATGGTGGTGGAGTTGGTGAGGTTTTCTTTTCGATTGTGGGTTGAGGATATGTGGGGCGCATGATTTTTGCCATAGTGGGTGGGGTTGTGTGTGTGTGCGCGACCACAGCGGGGAGGGAGAGGTGTTTAGGGGATTTTTTTCGAATTTATTGGGTTCTGGCAAAGTGTTGGATAAGCTCAGCATTCTCGCATGTCAGAGATAGGCAGCTCTTCACCGAATTCTTCATTGTGTGAACGATAGTGATCGGGTTTCTTATTTCGTACTTGATCAATGGAGCTTGAGTTTGAGGATATTCAGGGCTGATTGCAGTTCTGGAGTTCGTCTTTTTCTCTTCACTGGGTGGCGAAGCAAGTCTTATGAAATAAAGGATGACGATGAAGGGTGGGAAGACGGTCTAGTCTGTGAGCCTGCCTTTTTTTTTTAGATGTTGCGTTTACGAACAAGGTGAGCAATCGTGGCTGGCGAACAGCCTTCCTCGCATTGGAAGTCGGTGTGAGGAAGAGAGGATTTTTTCCACCGAGCTAGCAGCTTGTGTAATCTGTGGGTTCTATTCCCCGAATGTTGATGCTTGATACAGAGGTTAAGAAAGCACCCTTTGACCTACGACACCTCTAATTTTGATGATTTGGGCTAGAGACGAACAATTCCTCTCACAAGTAATGCAATTACTACCTCAGAGCAGCTAGGAGCCACTACGCCTTTGAAATCTGGTGATCGTTTCGGATATGTCATGTAGGATGCTGATATACTACACACGAAAGGTTGAGTAGCGACTATGGTGAAATGCTCATCACGTTCGTTTTTACGTGGATTCGGATGTGGTACGATCGCGAAATCATTGATGTGATCAGAGTCAAATTTGTATGGTCCGGGGTCGTTGCTGGGATGCAGGGTGGTGATGTGAACGTTCTGAAATATTGGGTTGTTTCTGCAGACAACGATTAGTCGTCTATGTTCTTGTGGAAGACCTATTGCAAACAAGTGTGGATCCTGCCAGGTTGAGTGACGCCTGAATCCCACATTGCCGATTGGAGCGGGTTTATGAATTCACATTGCGAGACTGCCCGTGGTTGCAGATGCCACGCCGGAGGTTGTGTTGTATCCCCCTTTGTGAAGGCGAGGTCATGTGAACCGTAGCTTCTAGAAATTTCCAAAATGTTAGGATTCGGGGAGGGGACCAACAGACATGAGCATCGCCATTAATTGCTATCGTGGTTTGTGACTTTCGTTGAATCTTAGGATCGAAAATTAAGTTAACTTGATCATTGCTTACTCGTGTGTGGAGAGGAGAATTGAAGGGAAAAATGTTTCGGGTTTTGGCATCTCTGCTTGCCTGCAGACGATCTAGTGGGTTGATGAGCATAGAGTAGTCTCTTGAAGACCCTCCCAGAATGATTCTGTTGAGGCTGCTGTGGATTAGGCTTCTTCCAGTATCTCTGTGTCGAACGAAGGAGCGGTCGAAGGTGGGACAGGCTTGAGCCCCTTGAGCCAGCTTCCCATGAGGTAATGGGGCCGCGACTTTTGTACTCTACCTCACTCGTGTATGATTGTTGACCATCTAACAGCAATGAGCCTCACGCTTCATCTTGCTTGAGCGTTACCTGCTGTGTTAATGGTAGTTTTTTTTAGGAAGATGTAAAACATTTTGTCTTTTGTAGTTCACCTCAAGGCCAAAATGATTCAACCTAGGTGCATTTTGTGGAAGTGTTTTAGAGTTTTGTTATTGGATTCTTGAGGGCAGATATTGGTAATTTACATGGTGGCGTTTAGTAAGTGTGAAAGTGTGAGAGACGTGACGTATCAACCATGACATGAATAGTGGGGACGTCCATCGGATGAAGAGATCCACTTTTAAAGCTCAAATGATTTTAAATGAATTTCACCAATGCTTGCACTTATCGCGTCGAATATTAAAAATTGGATTGTCATGATCAACACGTTCTGGTTTATCATATATTGAGATGCAATTTAGTTTCTACAAGGTACTTACTTAATGTTCTGAGTTTTTGCTTTTGATAACCCAGGGCGTGATCGGAATCGACCGTGTAATGCGTCATGTGGATGTCCTCTTACGAAAGGTGAAGGACTTTCGGGCAGCTTGATAAGAAATCCGGAGCTGGCAGTCCCTCTTTGACGGTTAGAAATATCACACCATTAACACTCTCAACCGCACTCAGGTGGAGATTTAACCCTTGTAAACAAAAAGAGGAAGAGATGGCTATGGAACCCTCGGGGATAGAATTGACGGCTTCAGTTGGCATGCCTCATGATGAGTGTCCAGGAGGCAAGCCAAGCGTAAAGAATGATTTGGAGGGACGACCAGCTGAGGAAAAGCAACGAGGCACACCTGTAGGTGGAGCGTCTCCAATCGATCAGATTAAGTCGGTTGATGAGCTTGATAGACAAACGCAAGCAGGAAATGTAGATGAAATCGCTGGCCTTGAGTCTTCTGAATTTCTGGACAGGTGCTTTGGACGTACCTCAACTATTTTGCACTAGCCCTCGTTTCAATCTCCCGTTATTTGCACTTGTCTTGTGAACAAGCTCTCTTCGCCACTTGTCTGGTGTGACAGATCTCTCTTTCGGCAACAAGGCTCATGGTATCTGTATCAATGCTGCAAAACTTCAATCAGTCCTATTCCTAAGGTTGTTTGATAGACAATTTGATAGACAACCTTGTGAATATCGCTGATTGCTTTTGTCATCAAATGAGCATAAACTGAAACTAGTTTGTGCTCTTGCATGCAACGTCTTGAAGGAAGCTATCTTCAGGAGACGATGTCATGTCGATGACAATTGAATGCTTACGATCTAGGCTTCTGTCTGAACGTTCTGCATCAAAGGCTGCGAAACTGAGAGTCCGACAGCTTGCTGCGCAGGTGAAGTTTACTTCGTATTTTTCGGAAGATTGTATTGTTTAGAATGAACACAAGGTAGTAATTCGTAGGGTTCTAGACATAGGTTTAATTTAGCACCCTCTGTCACTTGCTTTGCGAAGAATTTGAAATAACCTTAACCAAATTATAACTGCAATGTTGATCATCAGTTCTCATCAATGTTGGTTGATCAGTTCTCATTATTCCTTCAATAAACTCATGAAGCTAATGAGTTCTCTTTCTATGTCCTTCCAGAGATCCTTTACTTAGCACTTTCCATTATTCCGTAACGGCCTTTCTCATCTTTAATTTTAGTTCTGTTCGCGAGGATGTTATTAGAGAGAGTTAAGAGTTAGCAGCTCATGCAGATTTGTGTACATTGCCAGGTTTCTGAACTGCAAGTAAAGCTGGACCAGGCGATTGAAGATCGGAGGAAAGCACAGGTCGCTACCCAGGAAGCAGTCATGAAGTTGAAATTGGCAGGTTAATACATGCCATTCTCCCGTGTACTGGTCCTAATTCGGAGAATTTGTCATCAATGCGAGATTTAATGAAGTTAAATGTGATGCTTCGTGGAATAGTGGCAACCTGATACGCTTGCAGCTCAATAGAGTGCATACGTTGAACTGGGTAAAGAGATTCATATTTTAATTTTGTTCATTCTAATTCAAGAACCAAGTTTTAGATTTTAAGTTTTATGGGATGACAGGTTTTAATCTATTTTGGATGCAGAAAGCTCCAATCCAGTGACAGGAAGGACATCATGCGAGGTATCAGATAGATACATTCCAAATTTGACCAGAGGGTCCTCGCTTTCAATGCCAAGGGTGGGTATAGAGGATGACAAGTGCTCCTCACGGCCCGATGTAAGCAGTTTTGAAAAATTGTCGCAGACAAATTCTTATGGAGCTCCTGTTGAGGATGAGGATCCCAACACTAAAAAAAAGTTTCCAGACACTGCTAGTCAGATTGAAGAACGTTCAGCTGTGCCAGTTCGACTCAGGGAGAGACCCACTCCTCTGAAAACGTTAGAGCGATCTCAAGGGACTCCTCAGAAGCAGGATAACAGGTAATTGCAATGACCATGACGATCTCGAACTTGTAGGTATTTTATTGAGGCTCTTTTCCAGTGAGCTGGTCCTGTGCTCTCAAAATATTAGCACAATCACTTGATCAATTTCACTGTGAGGCAGCTTCTCGTGTCCTTTTTGTGGAATTGTTAACAAATACTCATATTTAATTTGTGGTGGATAGCCACGTTAATTAATCCCCTAAATGTGGTTGGACAGGGTTGCCATTGAAAACCGCTTACGAGACTTATGGAATGGGATTAGTGAAGGGATTGCTGCTCTTGCCGAAGAGAAAAGCAACGAAGATGTTGAGCGTGAAGAGATCATGAGCTGGATGGGCCAAGTACCTACTGTGCTCCAGGATATTATTCCTAAGAAGCTAGTTAGCCCCTCTCATGATATGTGCATGAAATATGAAATTGAAAAAATGAAATCTCAGGATGCACCAGTGCAAATGGTAGAAGATCATCCAGGTTTGTAGAGTGGATTTAGAACTCCCCATTCAGGAACGCCATTTTGGCAACTAACTATTTTTGGTGGTCAAATCGTATTGTGCTGTCTGTCCATTTATCTTCGGAAGCTTTATTCAACGCAACGATGATAATCAGGTGCTCCTTGAGCGATGTCACTCATTTAGTCTCTTTTCGATTTGAAAAATGCAGAGCTGTCGTCACACATTGTACAAGAAAAGGGCCAGTGGCAGGGAGATCCGAAGAAGGCAGCATTCTGGCATGAACAGTTCGCAGCTCAAGAAATTGTGCAACGAGAATGGGAAAGAAACTACGTGGAATCTCAACGGAAATTAGAGCAGTTTAAGGTACGTGCACACCTCCCTTTCACACTTAGCCTCTGCGAACTGGAACGTAGGAAAACTGTACGAGCAGAGATAGTACCCATCACTGTTTTGGTCTTGATTCCGTCAGTATTGCAATGCTTCAATGGATCGATACCTTTTGATGGCAGGGAAATGATCTTAACACCAATCGATTACCAAAAGCTTCTGCCCGGCATCGGCACCATCAACATGCAGAATTTAGGCATGAAGCAAATGACGTCGCAGATAGTTCGTCTTTCTTGAGGTCTCATCAGGCAAGATTGGCCAAAAGCAAAAGCACATTGGACCTTCCTACGGGATCCGATGGGCGAAATTCAGAAATAAATTTACCTCGCCGTGAAGAGCCGTTCGTTGAACCAGACTCTTCGACTAGGGAGAAGCCGTTGAGACATGGAGCTGGTGGCCCACATCATGAAGCAGTATACATGCAAGTGCCAATTGATCCTACCTACTTGAACCATAGTACTCGAATGTACAAGGATCGCGCTGCTGCACCTTCCATGTGAGTCATTTATATCTCCATAAACCCTCAAGTGTGTAGGCGTATTCGTACTTCATGTCCGAGGACCAATTGCTTTGACGATTTTTCACTGCACTTGTAGTTCTGATATGGGCTTCTTCCCACAGCCAGTCCCAAAGTGTTACTTGATATCTGGATAACTACCATACGTCAGAGGTCTTCGTGAGAGATCTTAATTTTTCTGACAGGTCAAAGGAGGATGTATACCGAAGCTTTCAACCAGATTTTAGGGTTGGACAACCCATTTGGGAGGGCACTGATCGGGGTATCAGTGAACGTCATCTGCAAGCTCAGCCTGGGTATGGCGATGCTAACTGTCAAATGGAAATAAATAGCTTCTACGTGGATGAACTATCAACTTGAATCATATCATCAATGCTCGATGTGTATTCTGTGTTGTTGGTGCTGTGTTGGAAGTTTTCTTGTAACTGGCACTCATTAGTGACATAATTCCATGGTAGTCATTGTGGCAGGGATAGCGAAAGAGAGGAGTCTTGCACTAATTCTCAACCTGGGAGTGCTCATCGTCATCAAAGTTCTCACTCTGATAGTAATGGCTGGCTAGCTGTGGAAGAGTATGATGGGATTCATCAACGCTACGAATCAAATCCTGGTTTAGGGAGACGACAGTCCTATCCTCGGCATCCTGCTGCATTGGCTTCGAATACATCTCATACAAACTTTGAGAGGGCCTCCGGATCTTATGACGATCGGCGTTACTCTGATGAAAGTGTGCATGGGGCAGGTGGGCAGAGACGGGTCAGCTTTCCTGCTGCCAAGGTTAGATTCTATTTGTGGAACTTTGCCTGGACTGTAGTACTGCTCGGAGTTGCTGTATCTCCGCTACGTTCGAAGCTGGCATCTTGCAGTCATCGTTGCGTCTTTCTCATATGCATTTTAATCAACTATTGGCCATGTCTACTCGTGTATGCTTCATCTTCTAAAGCCTTCGAATCTGATTAGCTAGGGTAGATCACAAGAAATATTTTCAGTACATTTGTACTAAATCTCTAAGTACTGTCTGGAAGACAATTCCTTCTTATGCTGCTAATGTTTCCGACATGCTGGCGATATGAATAATATTTGGTTATATCTTTTGGCAAAACAGATAGACTGCGATCTCAGACAGCAGCATTCACATCGAAATGGCTATTCCAGTGCTGAGCTTATTCTAAGTCTTGGATACGGGCCGACACATGATTTCCCGCAAGAAGGTTCCGCGGTACAACGATCTCCAAAATCTGAACCTAATAAAAACATATGTGATGTGCTGCGTGCGTTGCAAGTGGCAAAAACCAACATTCAGAGTAGGGTTACAAGCACCAAAGATCAAAGGTCAGTAACATCCTCTTCAGTGCGTACTCAAAATGTAGTAAATTTTATGTCTTCCTAATCCAGGATACCAAGTTTGTGCTTGCACTATCTCTAACTTTCGCACATTTGCTAGCTGTCACCAGTTGATATTCAGGCTTTTTGAATCTCGAATTCGAGCTTTAAAGTTTACTCAATATTTGTTAATTAATTTTTCAATGGGTAATTTAAACTCAGACTACCCTCTTTGAGTGGACTTCTTGCAGGCTATTGAAGCCAGGCTATGGGATGGAGCCCTCCGCTCAATATATGCAGGCATTCCGGCAACCGACGTCAGAACAGATCAGATACTCTGAAAGGCAAATTCTGCATTCACAATCCTCGAGATCTGCATTCTAGTCCAGTCACCGCATTTCATTCTGCAAAACATAACTCATGTGAAGCAGAATTTCATCGAGAACGATATTAATCGGAGGGTGACGCTATTCCTAGCATCAATACAAAGAGTAGTTACGTCGACCAGCTAAATGTTGTGCAGGATATCCTACTTTGATCTATAGGATAGTTCCAAAAAAATGCAGGTTCATTAAAAAAAAGAAAAAAGTAAAAAGAAGGTTAGTTTCTTGATTCCCCGATTCTTCTGAAAGAATCGCAAGTCACTGTGACAGGTCTTGCTACACTTTTTTCTTTTCTTATTTTAATTATCAAGACAGTACGACCGTAGCTTTTCCTTGAGTCAGGAAATTAGAGATAAAATGTGCAGAACTTTACATCTGCTAATCTTTACGCTTTGAATTGTCCATCCCGCAATCACTAAGTTTGACTAGTGCTGACCCATGTCCAAGCGGAAGAGCTTTTTCTATGAAGTCTTAACTTGACTCTACAAGGATAGTGCTGACTGTAAAAGTCTTCTGCGTGACTTCAACCTTTGAATCCAGCAACATATCGTTCAATCTCTGTTTGGACCTCAAAACCCATGAGATCACAATAACACGGAGACATGAAGTCTTCCACATATTTAGTTTTTCCACATCAACGCCTCCAGGTAGGGGCTTAGGGTGCCACTCGGACACCCTAGCTCAGAGTAGTAGTAGGCATGGCGTCATTTCAGATGGTGGTGAAAACGAGTCTTGCATGACGGTGGACATGTCACCACTTCGATCGAAAAGACCCCAACTTCATTTAGCAATTACTTCCAGACGCATGGCTGTCGGAGCGATCGACACACCCAGAAGATTAGTCCGTAATTTCACAACGAGAGATGGTAACACATATGTCAGAATCACAGAGCAAAACACAGCATAATCCACATTCTCTGGTCTAACCAACTGGTATCGACCGCTGAGACTCCGGGAGAGAAATCCGACGGCCACCGGTGGGGCTTGAACGTGGGTCTCGAATTCTACAGCTCAGGAGGGCTCCACCGAGCTCTTCCATGGTCGCTTTTGTGTGAAACCCTCGGCAGCCATGTCCAGTGGTTTTGTTTAGCGATCTGATCGAGCTGCGGGCTGTGATTGCGTCGGTGTTAGGTGGCTTGGTTGTGGCCGTCGTGTGGCGGTTGCAAAGTGCTCTCTTCCTCGGGAATCGGACCAGCCGTTTGAATTTGCGTGGACACTGAGTGGGTGAGTTTTTGTGTTGTGGTTCAGCTTGCGCAGGAAGTTGCTGCGAGAAATAGAGGTTTGTAGGCTAGCGCGAAGTGTTTGTGGTGGTTTTTTGACGTTTGTAGCGATTGAATTGGCTTGGTGGACCTTGTGTTGACAGTTCTTGTGCTTTTTAGAAAGTTTTACAGGCTTTGAAGGTGGTCATGTCGGAGGTGGGGAGATGGAGCGAGGCAGCATTTGAATGCCGAAATAGTATTCTACGATGATTGTTTTAGTTGGATTATTTAAGGTAGTAAGTTTTTATGTGGAGTTGGTGTGGTGAGGGATTGGAATTGGCACTCAGGCTTTTTCCATGGCTGCGTCGAAAGCTGATGTGTTGATCCTTGGCTCAGGAATTTTGGGACAGTCTCCGACCTAGAATTCTGGTGCAGTGAGCGTTTCGGTTCTTTTCAAGGTCGTGGATCTTCCTGGTGAAGAAATTTCATTGCCTTAAAGGCTTGGTTCTGTTACAGACTTCGTTCCGATGCTTGGCATCTTATTTCGGCACGCGTTGTCGCTACCGACCCTGGGCCCCCTGGGTGCTTCTTTAACGAAAGTCCGCCCCAGGAGGTGGATTCCCGTGAGGTCGCGTTCAGCTACTAACATTGAAGGGCTCTCACTTGTGTTACTTACATGATTGGAGCTGGTATAGAGCCTAATTGCGGACATTTCAGGAATTGACAACTTTGGGGCTCGCATCCACCACTTGGCACGAGCTTTGCCTTAGCTGCTTTTGGTGTGATAGTGATCACGAGTTCGGCGGGCAAGAAACAGAGTAGCGGAGTAATACGATTACCTGCACCGTTGCAGTTTCCCTCTCAATTGGAATTAACCTGGTGTACACAATTTTCAGATCGTCGAGTCTACTGTGCATCTTTTAGAGCTGATTCAGGGTTTACTCTGGAATTCTCGAGACATGGACGGAATTGTGGCAAGGAGTGACACAATGTCTGTCAATGAGGTATGGACTGATGCAGTTGGTGGTGGTGCGGTTAGTGATTCAGCTGATAGTCATGGTACGTATGATGAAGCTTATAACACGGAGGAGTTATCCGGAATTGTGGCCTCACTTTCGTCAGCAGCAGAAGTTCCTGGAGGAAGCACAGGCCCCAAGGAATCTCTGGGAGGAGTGCATACACATGCCGCCCTTGAGGAGAAACTTGAGGAACAGGCTAGTGTTAGTGTACCAGCCTTGACTTTTTCTGATGTGGTGAGTTTCGAATTGTCGTTGCATGTTTAATTCTTTATTTCATTTTAACAACTTGTTACGTAGCTATGCGTTCAGCACTGCTACTATCGTGGGTTTTATTTTTATTTTTTACTCAGGACTTGCCTGATATCTTTATCACATGAGTCATTCTTTGAATGACGAATAATGATTTTTTGGAGTTCAGTTTGATTTGCAATGCAGGTATGAGACTTCTTCGTGTAGTAAGTTGTGTTCATTGGGGGGTGTCAGGTGGGCGGGAGCGCAGGTCCATCTGATCCTGATATTTGTGCCATCTGCTTAGATAGAATTAAGCTAGCAGAGACATCTCAAATCAAAGGATGCGAACACTCTTATTGGTAATATTTCCAGAATTGAATCGATGGCGGATCTCGCTTGTGCGTATTTGATTGACAAAATATCATTATTTGCATATGACTGTGGCCAACCAATATGTAGCTAGATTTTCTGGTTGTGTTGAAGGAGTTATCATGTTACCCTGGAAAGTTATAAATGTTTGTAATCTGGGGCTCGTCTGTTGGTTGTGGCTTGTTGAAGTAAATTAACCCTCTGTTTATCTAATTGATGCAGCGTTACTTGTATATTACGATGGGCCCTGTATCAGAATAATACCTGGTGCCCTCAGTGCCGACTTCCTTTCACCGAGATGTATGTATACAGATCGCTTGATGGGAGGTTTGTGTCTCAAACCTAGTCCAATTGTGTTGTAGAATCCATATTCTTCTTCAAATGATTAATGTAACTCGTGTAAAGTTCGCACAAACGTCATGATCTTTGAGCATAACTGAACGTGATGTTTTTATTCAGAGTTATGCCTCTGTCTGTTCAACAGTTGATTGCCTCAAGGTTTCTGCTACTTATGGTCAATCTACATGCAACTCTTTGCCACTGCGGTCATACGTTAGTACGGGAGTTTAATATTGTAAATTTCAGTGCAGGTGTTTGAACTGTTTCATTATTACGGCCTATTCTTATTAATCAGCTGACATGCTTATATATATATATATATATATATATATGTGTGTGTGTATATATTTCTGAATGAGTTTTCTGAGGAGCAATTGTTGTGTACAGCCTCAATGATTATCTAATTGAAGAAAGCGTCTGCCTTCTGCTGAGAGCATCTTGGTTTGAAGGCATGCCCGTTTTCGCCCAGCCAGAAGAACCCGAGGACTACTATGAAGATGAAGAATTTGATGATTACTATTTCAAGTCTAACGTGCGCATTGGGAATCGACGTTGGGGTGACAATGGTTATGTCCGTGCTGGCCGTCGCGAGGCACGACCTGTGGGCGTCCGGCATCTAGCAGCTGCAGTTGCGCAAGCTGATGAAGCGGGATCTTCTTCCTTCCGTCCAGGAAAAGGCAAGGAAAAGGCTTCTCCGAAAGAGGCTACTGGCCGCCGGGCCAAGCGAGCTCAGAAACGTGAAGCTCTTGATAAACAACTAGCTACACAGCGCTCTGTTAGGTGAATTGGGTGTCTCTAACATGGAAGCGTCTTAGTTTGTTGCTCCCTAAGGTGTGTATTGCAGTCATGAGTGGCACAAAACTTATATCTTTTGCTAGTGTTGGAGGGGATCATTAGTTGTTACTCCTTATACCTTCAGCAGTAAAGGATATGTTTGATTGTTTGATCCTCGTTGCTCTCATTCTTCACCCTAGTATTAAGAATGCGTTGTATGGGTTGTGTAAGGCTTCTCGACTTATCACTTGTCAACTCGTACATGTGCACCAATTTGGAACAAACATAAAAGGTTATGGAAACAAGCGCTATTTTGTTTGACGTTCTCACTGTTCGTCAATTATGTGTAATGACCATATTTGTATGTGGTTGTTCTTCCATGTAAAACATGCAGTCTTTGGTGTGAAATTGCTATCACAAGGCTGCGGCATATAACCCTGCTTAGTATATTAACTCCATGTTTGATTGTTGTTTTCTGAATGAGCCGAAATACACGTATAGATCGTGCTTGTCAACGTAGAGTCGTCAGTTTTGCATCACAGAGATGCTCGCCGGAGCATTGCAGTTTGTGCAAATTTTGTTAAAGTTACTTAGTTCTTTAATGTTTGAGTTTACTCTAATTCACAAGTGTAATATTCTACTTATGTGTCTAGTGGCACAGTAAAATACTTTAAATTCATTACATTAAAAATAAAGAGATCCAATTAGGTACTAAAAATCGAAATGAATTATTAATAATGATAGAATATTAGTTGCATTCCAAAAGGGTTGACTAGATGTTAAAACCAACAAAAACAATTCAATTAGTAAATAGAAACATCAAAATATATTTTTATACATATTGGTTAAAAGAACATCTTATTTGGGATGGCTATATATTAAAGCATGGTTTTTAAAAAATTATATAGAGTTTAGTAGACATTGTGCAATTATTTAAAATAATTTTTTTTTATAGCAGTGACACCACTAATAATAATCAAAGTACAATGCAATAGTATCAAATAAGAATATAAATTTAACTTTAAATTTATACAAATAAATAAATAAATTTAAAAATATGATATCTATGTGTAATTACAAATAGTTAAAAAACTAGTAGATTAATTAAGCATTAAATTTTAATACTATGTTACATCTACAAAAGCATAATAAGTAATAAATAATATATTACAATCATTTTTATATGTAACCAAAAATCCTTAACAACATTTCTAAAAAGCTAATATGTATGTTAAAATATAAACATATTAAAATTTTAAAAATAAATTTACAAAAAAAATATATTAAAAATGAAAGTAAATATGATTATAAAAGAAGAAGATATTAAAATAGTTATTACCAAGTTTAAAGGATTAAATAATCTTGAATTAAGAATAAAATACAAGATAGCTAGTGATAATATAAAGAGTGGTCTTAGTTTTGTCTTTGTACATAATAACCAACAGGCAGGCCATGTTGAAGACTTTATGTTTTTTTGGAATATTAATTGTTATATATTATTATTTTTATTTATTAGAAGATACTTTACATGAAAAGTAAACAAAAGAAGAAAAAATTACAATTTTCATGTGGATAGCTAGGTGTTGAAAATTACACAAAGATTGAAAATTTGAAAAATAAATTTAGGTTATTCTAAATATGTAGTTCTGCTCTTATGGTATTTATTGCAAAATAGAAGAAGTAATGAAATTTAAACAATTATGTGCTATCAAATAAATAACTATTATGCAATAAGTTATTAAAATCGTATATTTATACGTTGTGTAGGGAAAAACCTCTATCACATGCTAAATGTATACAACAACTCTCAAATGTTGTATAATATTGTATATCATAATGCTGTAGGACTATTTGCTAGAGACATCCCTCAAGATGAACAATCTAGAAAATTTTCTTTTATCACTCCAAGAAAAGCAAAACAAAAAATTAATGTGCTGTTCTGCAAAGATTTTCCAAATGGCCATTCTCCAAAGTTCGATTCTGGTGCTTTGCTTATTTAGCTGGCTCTCAACACAGAACATTGCATGTTTGTTAATTCAGGAGATGTTTTAAAGTGTCAATTCGTTACTTCATGAGAAAGAGGAAAAGAATCTGGACCCCAAAAACACATTCACAAAAAAAGGAGTAAATGAGTTAAGTAGAGCTTGCTAAGTCTTTCACAGTTCTCCATTGAATCATCGAAGAAGACATTTATCACCACACTGCTATAGGCTGCCCACCCTCTCCGACATGCACTATTTACTTGGGAAATTATGCTCAATCTTCATCAGTTGAAACCCAGAAATACTCATCGAGACTTCTGCAGTCCTTGGCTGGATTATGGATATTGAACACCACGATGCAAGCAATAATATGGACTCTAATGGAGAAAGTACATCTACAAACTTCTGTTTAATTAAAGGCTCTCAATTTGATGTGATTTTTGCAACAGCAAAAGTAACCTTTGCAGCAAACCATGAAAGATTCAAAGCTACAGAAGAAGAGAGTTGAGGGGACTCTCGAAGACTTTCTTACCGCGATTCTGCAGGATCTGCTCGACGAATTGTTTGTATACAAAACTTCTATATCGTAGGGGACAATCACTGCTTACCAACGCCGGTATAGGGTCTATCTTTGTGTCAGGATGAGGACCGAAGAAGTAAACCACCGATAATCTGGGTTCTGTTGTGTTTACGAGGGCCCTGTGCATCACGCTCTTGATTCTCCCGTTACTCCAAGCCTGCATCCATTAGAAGATGCATGTGACTTACTAGCTCCAAAATTTCAAGCAGAAGCTTGGTTTCTAGACAAGCGTTACGAAGTTGAGATGATGGTTCAAGGATATGAGGGTTTTGGTTTTACGATAACGCACATGTAAAGTGTCGCCGACATTGACAACCAGTGCGTTAGGATTTGGCTTCACGGTGACCCACTCGTCATTGTCCTTAAGCACTTGCAGCCCAGCAACGGTGTCTTGCAGCAGGATTGTGAAAATGTTGAAATCCGAATGTGGCGAGATTCCTAGCGTCCGAGAGGGCTGTGGGCAAGGTGGGTAGTAGTTCATGCGCACAGTTGAGGTGCTCGACCCTGCAAAGTGCCGAGAGAAGGTTGTTGCGTCCAGGCCAAGACCTAATGCCACAAGTTCCATGAGCTGCACGGCCAGCTTCTCCGCCTGAGAAGCGTATTGCTCCACCGCCTCACTTCAAAAGTATCTCGCGCATCGATAACAAATGTTAGAATTCGAAAAATTCGTAGTGATTGTTGATAAGTCGCCCGAAGTCAACCCTAGCATGAGAGCATCAGAATCCATATTTTGAGAGGCTTGGAAATTCCATGTACAAAACTGAACCAGGTTACCGCAGAATTGCTCACCAGAAACCTTCGAATTGAGGTTGGGGAATCCCAATTCGTTCCATGTGCCTGCGCACTTGTGAGGCAGGTGTCCATTCCATGTGAAAGGCCTCCATCCATGCGTTGGGGGAGTACGTACGTCCCTTCGCAATTCCATAGCCATAGAAGCTATTTGCGCTACATGCGGCTGCTCGCTCCTTCTGTTCCAATGGCAGCTCAAAGAATGAGTGAGAATGTGCTCGTAGTCGGTTTAGAAGTTCCAGTGGGATGCCATGATTTTGAATCTGAAAAAAGCCCCAGTCCCGGCAGGCTGCGGCCAACTGCTCCGCTGCGCCTGCACAGTAAAGGTCGATGGTAGGCAATGCATCAGAGGAAGAGAACAGGTTCTGCGCAGGCAATGGCTGGTCTGAATCTTGGAGGACAAATTCCCCCAGCGTCCGAGATTGCAATAATCCTGAGTTCAATAAGATATGGTTAGCTGCGTCGGAGAGAGTCATGGCAGTGCAATTTCGAGAAATTGAGTCTCGATGACAAACGGAGACAAATTCAAAGTGTGAACCTCCCCCTTCGGTTTGCGAAGACCAGTTGGCTAGAATGAAAATGCTGTTCAAAAGCAGAACGGAATTACCTATCAAGGATAGAAGCTCCGCAGTCGATTGTTCGCATTCGATTCCGGATAACCCAACTCAGTTCTCACACTCAAAGGATTCATTTGCAGCTTTTTCTGGGCGGTGCCGTGACACTTGAAACATGATGCTGGCAACTGCAGATCCATATATTGCTGGACACGTTGTATGAAACACTTGGGATTCGGTCATGCTCGGATTTCATAAATTCATTTACCGATGAGCAAATCCTACCAAGATGTACACAGTCCAACGACATGTTGAGCAGCTTCACTTGCGAGTCACACATTCAAATCACGCATGATCCATCATATTATTTGATATTTGTCTCGCACTGTTCACTAAAAGCTCATCTATTCCCTGAAATACAACGATATACTTCCCAAGTCGTGCTACAAGATGATTTTTACAAGTTTCCCTCCCTACCTCAATCAGACCCAAAAAAAGCGCAAGGACTACTGCACCTATGACTGCGTATCCCTACCAGCGTGCCCTATGTCCACGAAGGTTTAAGAATCGGGGTTCGTGGTGTCGACGACAAATGGGCGGGAAGACGTTGGTAGAAAGAAGAGACGAAGGGACAGACCCTACCTTCCATTGATCCTTTAAGTATTTTTGGGGGGTTCGAACCACGGCGCCACAATCTGGCTTTGTGTTTGCAGCGTAAAAATTCAAACCCGCACGCTTCTGCAGCGTGATTCGAGAGGTTCTAGTCGTTTTATGTTTCAGGGTGCCACTGTTGTTTGCTTGTCAAAGAATTGAGGCAGGTTTGATATTGAGGATTTGTGAAGAGAGCGAGGGAGGGAGAGAGAAAAGGAAGGAGAAGACATGTATCAAGAGAGTGGAGGTGGCGGAGATGCGTCCTTGTTTGCTGGGGGTGGCTTCATGCCGTCGCAAGCTGCCACTGGCAATGAGTTCAGCAGCTCTGTCTCAGGAGCTAGCAGGGTACGCACTATTGTCCGACTAATTTGTGGGTCCTCAAAACTCGATCGTGCATGTAAACTTTATGAACTTGAGCTGAACTACGACATGCACTTCATTTACACTGGATTTGGAGCTTGCTTATTATTTTTCTCTCAATTGTGCAACTGTCTCCTATGAGGCGTGAACCCTGGGCTTCTATCTTAGTAATCCCCTAATAGTGTTGCTGAACTCATCTTTGCCAGAAGTTAATGCAACCCAATAACTAGAAATGTTTAGAATCGTCGCATTCGTAATATTCTTGCGGTACCTAGGGTTTATTGGACTTCGTTTTAGGTTCGCTGATGATACTGAGGTTTTTGGCGGGAGTTTCCAGAGATCAGGGGGTCAGGACGGTGGACTGCAGCCCTTGACAGTGAAGATGATCAGTCAAGCTTCACAGAAGCCTGGAGATGATGCTTTCTACGTCGATGGACTGGAGATCAATAATGTACGTGTGGAAAAGCTTGCCTATTGCACCTGCTCCTCTCTTATTGCCTAGTCGTTACATACCTTGCTCCAGTCCTTTCTTCATTGCATGAGAAGGTCTTACTTTCTCTGTGAGATATTGAATTCGTTTAATTGAGCAATGTAAGCGAAATCAATGTCCATTTGTGAATATGAACTGTTAGGTGGTTTCTCTTACCTTCAGTCTCTTCAAATCCTTTATTTTTACTTATCCAAGTTTAAGGTCGTCAATGCAAGTTGTTTAGGATGCCATAGTGACTTACACGCTTATTCGTTGTCTTTGTATTTGTACCTATGCAGGTAACCCTAGTGGGCATGGTGCATGACAAGGATGAGAGAAATATCGATACTTCTTTCATGTTGGACGACACAACAGGCCGCATCGAGGTCAAACGCTGGTCAGTTTTCTTTTTGTTTTGCCTTTGCTTTCATGATCCGCATATTTATGTTGGTGGGGATAATTATGTTAACGTGTAACAGTCATTTACAACACTATGTGTACCGTACCTGACTTTATTCAAAGATCAGGATCATCAATTGCTTATCGTAATTACGCAAGTCCGTTTAGCTACTTTCTCTTTGCATGCTCTTGCGACGGGTTTGCACCATTTCCTATCAGCTCATGGTCGATCTTCTGAATTCCCAGTCTTTGACCAACAATGGCTAGGCGAGTCATTAGTCCAGTATGTAATGTTTATACTGTGTATATTAACTTACCTGTGATGGATCCAAATTAAGTGCTGTAAATCTATTTGTAGCACTTCCAAACTTTCTAATTGGAAGGATGTTCGTCCCAGTGTTGTAACAAAAAAATCATGATGCTCCACCGCAGGATTGATGGCCAGGACTCATATGAGTACTTTGAAATGCAAAGCGTACAGTAAGCACACTTTCTCATTGTGTATTTATGTGAAAACGGTTGGGTTATTGATGAAATTGGTTTTTGTCGCATGGTTTGAGATTGATCCAACAGTTCTAATAGTTCAGTGCCTTCTTCCCTTTGGCTTTATCAAGTGTGTAGGTGCTGGTTTTGGTAATCTTTAATGTGGATGCAATGTTTTGACTGCCTCTTCAGGCTGCAATATTATCATTATGTTCTAATCATGTGTTGACTGAATTTAATCTGGGTTGTGCTCCAGAAATTTTATGTACGTCCGTGTTCACGGTCATTTACGGACTTTTCAAAATAAGCTTAATGTAGTAGCCTTCTCTGTAAGGTACTTGCTGTTAAGGCTATTGCATATTCTATATTCATCTTTCAAATGTAATTGCGATCTGCAAAAGATCGGCCTTTCACATGCAAATGGTTCTGTTTTGCATGCAACGTTTTAGTTATACGATCGTTCATATATATTCGAAGAGGATGGATTCAAATTGGCCAAACAAAAAAATTATGTGCAACGCAAATAGATTTTGGCAGCCATTTTCTTGTTCTTTCAGCATGTTTGATCATAGCCTGTTACATACTTTTATGCAGGCCTATTACTGATTTTAATGAAGTCACGTTTCACTTTCTCGAGGTGATCCATGTGCACCTTTCTCGAACACGGAAGGTGAGTATGCCACTTCCCTTGAAATTGATTTCCTGGATCTTTCTATTGTTGGCATAGCCTATTGCGAGGTATATTCTCGATCTATTTAAGAATTCAACAGATCCTAATCAGTCTGTTAAAAAATCATGTTCTAGGGGGGAGTATCTGCGGTTGCTACACCGGCTCTAGGGAACACAATGGCAACTCCACAGAATGGGATGTATACGCCAGTGAAGACACCCATTGCTTCCTCAGCAATACCTGCTGGTGGAGCCAAGGAGGAATGTCAGAGGAGGGTCCACAGCATATATGAAGAGCCTGCTAGCCTGTAATACACAGTGCCTTTCTTTCACTCTGATCTTTGAGACTATGACTCCTTTATTTTGCACTTATATTTCATAAACAGGGTAATATGCATCTTTTGTAGATGTACAACGAGTCTCAAAAGGACTTTCCAAGCTTACGCTCGAATATTTGTCATGTCTGTAGACAAGTTGAGCAGGGACTTCATGTTGATCAAGTTGTTCAGAGGATGGTTGGCTTTACTCGAGCTCAAGTCAGGTAGTTATGATCTTGTTATTTCACTGCTTTGATTCGTTGAAATTTCTCGTCCATGTGTGTTCACTTAGACGGTTCTACAATGAAAAAAATCTTATCACGTGGAAATTTGCAGGGAGGCGATTGATTTTCTTGTCAATGAAGGTTATATATACTCCACCATCGATGATGATCACCACAAGTCCACAAATGGGTAACTAACTAGTGACAGAAACGGTAGGTGTTTCTGGGTTTTAGTCTTCAGTTTTTGCACCTAGCTCTTCATCTGCAAAATGGGGCTTGATCTATGTATGTGAATACGATCACTTCTGCTGATCCCGGATGGTTTTGCTAACTGTTTCTGCTTTTTCATCGATTGTTCAGGATGCAATTAGTTTACGTGCACTTTGCTTTAGAACACTTGTCTATTGGTCAAGCCTTAGTAAATGTGTTCCAGTGCCTTAAATGATACATCTTGCTGCTGTATAAATTTGTTCACTTATTATTTTCTGGTGTATTATCTCGCCGTAGGTGAAGAAACTCTACATGCTTGGCCTACCGGAAAGAAAACTTCACTCTCCAATACACGTTGACAGGACAACCCCGTGCTTGTATTGGACGAAGTGTATGATAAAACTCTGCCTTTACTTTTTAGATTTTTTTCGAAGACGTGTCCATGTAGACATGCCTTGTGTACTAAATTGGGTCGGACTTTTCTTAGCCTAGAAGATCGGAGACTGCATGTTACTCCATATTTTCGTCTTGGTATTACGAGCGTGGGGGCGTCCATTCTGCACCTACCAATGCAGCTGAGTTTGGAAGTTAAATAGATTCTGAAATTCCAGAATTTTCTAGTTTCATAACTAGAAGGTACCCATCTAGCAAGTGAAATGATCGTTATAAACAACATTCAACATTAATGGGAGTTTAAAATAAAAACACCACACTTAGCGAAATGTAATAAACACTATACTCTCACATTCTGAACACATATTTTAGTGCAATAGAATGATTCTATGATCAGCTAATGAAAAAATCGGCTGCTGCATGGAGGGATTTAAAAAATAATGAGAATATTATGTCTCAATTGTAATGATAACAACATTACAATAACATCAGAATTAATGTTTGATTAAAAAAATTGATTCTACTATGAAACACGTTGCACATTTCACATCCTTCTACGCAAATGAAATCACTTACACAGAAGCGTAGATGTATTCACATTACATACCCTCACTAAATTACCTTAGCCTTGGAATGACGCGGGATCAATTGTCATGAATTATAAATCAACGATCATCCTGTATCCTTGCGCAGCTTCGAAAGCTTTGGAGGAGAGTTGTCACTGACATCCACGGATTGCGTGTCACTATTGCTGAACCAACCGCTTAGTTCTCTAATCTCCTCACATCGAACAAACGTGCTAATTCAAAATGCAACTTCACTGTCAAGAGAGCATTGGTTGAGACACTACATCATTGCACGTCAACGGTAAACTGAAAGCATAGCATCTTTGAAGTCGACCATTTGTAACGTCTCCTGAAACCTGTGTCGCGCGGCCTCCAATGAAGTGTGCAAAACCCTTAGTATCCCGGTTTCATACTCCGAGTAAGAAAATCTCGTGGGGAATCACTCGAGTCTTTGTTGTAAGCAAATGCTGGGAATTCACCCTTAAAACCCATTGTTTAAGATTTAAATGGATTCGTCGTGGGTTTGCCTGTGGATGTTCTGATGTGAGTAGTCGAGGACCACACACCTGCACCGTCAAATTCCACACACGATTAACACATCCCCTGTTTATATATACACAGAAGTGCGCACTCTTTTCCATTTAGCACACAACCAAGAGCACTCCACTGATCATGGACCCATCACTCCCTTGAATTTCCATCCTGGAGAAACGAACACGGCAAAATCGGGTTGTTACCTTCTCGTTGTCAGGAGTTTCCATGGAGATGAACGCTGCAACCATGAAATTAACCATGAGACCTGGATCCAGAAGTGCGGCAGTGAGTTTTCCGTTCAAGTTTACATTGTGCTTTCATTCGAAAGCCTGCACAGGAGCAAAGGGCTTGCTGTTCATCAAACAAAAGCGTCAATTATACAACCATGGTCACACATCAATGTGAACGCAAACAATCTCGAAGCTAACTAACGATTCATCATTTTTCACTAAGCGTGGGAGATGATTGAGCTCAGATTATTCAGGTTTTGTTATTTTTAGGAACAGATTCCGAACCATTAATGAGTGTTTGCACTTAGGCAAGCGTGGTTGACAATCTTCAGATATCATCACATAGACACGTTATTGCAGGAGCAATGTTTTTATTAAAAAAAAAATTAATGAAAGTTTTATTGCTCATCTCCACTTGAAATGTGAAATCGTGCAACATACTGTAGTAAGTTATATATCAAGGAAAAATCATGGTACTTCAAGCCAAGTCTTAACAGCTTTTTTTAAAAATTTCTAATTCGTATTATTTATTATTATTATTTAAAAAAAAAAAAATCGTTCACGACTACATCAACCAGTTATTGTCTTTTTATACTCTACAATTCCCAAAGGAAAACATGGAACAAAATAAAACAAAACAACGAGCCAGAGTTAAAACAATGGTCAACAACTACTTTAGAATATTTAGTTGCTTTAGAATTACTGTAACTGCCAGATATCTGAATTCAGATAGGTGAGATAAACAATTTCATGTAAAATTACTGTATACTTTTATCACTTGCAGTGTCAATTATCCTTACACTTATTTTCAATTATTTACTACTTGTCAATTAACAACACTTCATACACTTAAATCTTTAAAAAATAATTATCTTGGATAATACACGACAACAATAAGTCCAATTTAAAAAAACCCCAATCCCTAATTGATTCAATTTCAATAAATAGTCCCATATAAAAAAACAAATATATAAGCAAAATCTAAGAACTTTGTCAAATACCCAAATTTACTTCTATTTAAGTCTACAATAATTAAATGAATATATCTCTATGTATAAGGTATTTCATTTTGAAACTCAAAAATAGACATACTTAAAATTCTAATATTGTTTTATGTTTCTTACATATCAGCCCACTATCAAAAACATTTCTAAAACCATCACCACGTGGCTCTCAGTAGATGGGATTAGTACCTCGCTGTGACCAGGGTTCGAACCCTCGACGATTATACCGAACTGAAACCACCTCGGGGTGTGAGTTTGCGAACCAGTGCGCTGTCACTGGACCCCACACCTGATCATCCTACGTGGACTCACGGAAACGCAAGGGGACAGCCAGGGGTATGCCGGCGGATAGGAAGCAGAAGTCGGGCGTCGGGCGGGGCTTGGGGAGGGGGTGGTGTAGAGCAGGGGAGCGTGGTGGCTGTGGCCGGTTGTCGCTGAGCTTTGACTCTGCCTCTTTCTGGACTCTGCCTTGGTTGTGCCTGGCCAGCACTCGCGCCCTCTTCACCTGCGCTGAGTCGCAGCTGGCAGGCGCAAGCAGGTTCAGGCATTGCTTCTGCAGGAAGGAGAGCTGCTCGCTTTGTTTCATTTCGCTTTTACGGACTGGGAAACGGTGCGGGATCGCGGTTTTTCTGCTACTTTGCGCGTGGGCGATAGTAGCTGGATCGGCTGAGCAGGAGGTGTTGCAGCGTGTGGAGTGTTAGTGTAAGTCCGTGTTTGTGGTGAGTCGTGACCGAAAGTGGTGGTGGAGTAGAGTGTTGTTGGAGAGGAAAGGGTGAGGGAAGGGGGAATCGAAATAGCTCGAGAAAGCGGGCTGGTTAGGGTTTGGTATAGGGCGGGGTTTTTTGCGAGGCTGGCACAATGCCGTCCTATGCAGATGTAGACCGGCAGATAGAGCAACTGACGGAGTGCAAGCCGTTGTCTGAGTTGGAGGTGAAGAACCTGTGTGATCAGGCTCGGACGGTCTTGGTGGAGGAGTGGAATGTGCAGCCTGTGAAATGTCCCGTCACTGTGTGCGGAGATATCCATGGCCAGTTTCACGATCTCATCGAGCTCTTCCGCATCGGAGGCAAGGCGCCCGATACGAATTACCTGTTCATGGGCGACTACGTGGGTAAGTTGCGGATTTATGTATTTGCTCAGATGCCCAATTTTAATTTCTTCTTCCTTTAAAGTGTCTGTGACCCAATGCGAGTGGCACTTGTGGTGAAAGAGGTGATCGTTCGTTACTGATCTTTTTCCTTGTGGATATCTCGTCTCCGGTCTGTCATTGGATCTCAAGGTTTAGCCCAAACAGCTCAGTGGTCGAGCTCTCGCCTTGGCGTTGTACTGTTCACGCAGTTTCCCTCTTTGCATCGTAGGAAGTTCTCTTCCTCCCGTGGGTAAGAGCTTTCTCGTGCACGAGATCTCCGCACTTTGTGCACTCAAAATAGTGCGTTGCGCTTGCATTTGCTTCGGTAGAATTTGGGTAATGAATCAATCTGGTCGCTGATCGCACAGGATTTGTTGGCTTTCTAGATAATCAAGTAGCGCTTGAATCGTCCTGATGGCTTCCTGCCCTTCAGAACGTGGTAATCTCATGGCCAGTTGTACGCACGTCATTTTCGGAACCGGCGTAAGAGATTATCTGCAATTTTATACACGGTGGTTTTGTTGCACGAATCTCTCACCCAGAAAATGGGACTGTGTACATGTTCATTTGTTAAATGCCAGTTGTGAGTGTGTAGCTGTCTGATACTTTTACACCGACAGATCATCGCAGATGTTCAGTCTAGGCCTGGGCTGCGGATCGCATCTGTATTGTGTGATCCACTTGCCACTTTATCGCATTGGCTTTTTAACTTTGACATACTCCGAAGTCATGCTCCTGTGATAAGATTAATAATGTTACTGGAGATCCTTTCTCCCGTCAACTAGCTCTATATCCGGTTTTTGGTTAATTGGATCAGGGGAATTTTAATCTTAGCATCTTGCTGGTCAGTACTGGTTGTTTCTGGTTAGGTGTTGCAGCTTCTTAACGAATGTGCTTATCCGCCCGTTTTTTCGAAAGCCTTCGGGAGATGGCACTTTCCAATGGGTAGTTTATCGTATCCTGTGTTAGTGAGATTGGTGATTTGATTTGGTGGAAGTAAACATGTTGGTCACATGGTCTGACGCAGTTGCCAGCGTGATTTTCGGAACGCAATCCAGTGTAGCTGAAAACTTCATCACACTCCCTGTACATGACCACCTGTTTTCCAAACAGAAGCCGTGTCGTGTGACAGGAATTTTTCCATGTGTGCTTGGTGCCGCAATTCCAAATTTCTTATATTGGAACTGTAGCAAGGTCAACCCGATTCAGTGAAAGACTGCTGTACCTGATAAAGGAAAAGTACTACAAGACTACAGGGTTCTGTGGTAGGCTTCTGTCAATGATTAGTGCTCTGATATAGAGCGATGAGAGATAGTCGCCAAATCTAGGCCTGTAGCTTTTTATTTTGGAAAAGGTTTAGTTCCTCCCAGATGCGTTCGATTTGTCTTGTTTATGGACATTTTAGGTAACCATACACTTGTTCGTTCTGTTGCAGATCGTGGATACTATTCTGTTGAGACCGTGTCGTTGTTAGTGGCTTTGAAGGTGCGGTATAGAGATAGGATCACAATTTTGCGAGGGAATCACGAGAGCAGGCAGATTACTCAAGTGTAAGTAGCTCCACTGTTCCTTTACTGAATATAAACGATGTCTAAATAGCACTGGGCTGTATATAAACTAATTGACATCGAGTATGCACTGTCATGGAGTCGTAATCGAATCGTTCTGTTTTGCGCTATATAATTTAAGATGCACCTAAAATACTACCTTCTGAAGCTAACCGGAGTATGCACCCATCTCTCAGCTGATCTCCTACTGATTGCAGGTACGGTTTCTATGATGAATGTCTGCGAAAGTATGGAAATGCAAACGTGTGGAAGTACTTCACGGACCTTTTTGACTACCTTCCTCTGACAGCTCTTATTGAGCACCAGGTATTACATTGACAAAGAATTCAGGACGTAGAAGAACTTCATAATTTTAAACCATTTATTATTTCCTAATTGTGGATGTTTGATAATAAGAGAATTTAATAAGCATATGTTTTCATGGGGAATCAGTGATTGGTTCGTAGATTAACCTTTTGTCTTTGCCTGGTGTTCCTAATTCGACACGTTCTACATTGATATGCTTTTGTGGGCAGATTTTTTGCCTCCATGGTGGTCTGTCTCCATCACTCGATACATTAGACCACATCCGTGCTCTGGATCGTATTCAAGAGGTCCCGCATGAGGGGCCAATGTGTGATCTGCTCTGGTCTGATCCCGATGATCGTTGCGGATGGGGTATTTCACCACGTGGTGCTGGTTATACGTTTGGCCAAGACATTGCAGAGCAATTCAACCACACAAATGGCCTTAGTTTAGTTGCACGTGCTCACCAGCTTGTGATGGAAGGCTACAATTGGTGCCAGGTTCGTTTGGTTTCCATCCCTGCTGTGCTGCTTGATCGTTATCCCTGTCGTTTCACTTTTGGCGTACCCCCGCTTTTCAATTGCTGCAGGGCATTTTCTAGTCAAGTCTGCTTGGAATGAATCTGTCTACTTTTGCTCGTTCTCTCTTCTATAATGTTCTACTGCTTCGAAGGTCTATTTTTATTTTTAAATATAATGATTAATTCAAACTAAAATTAAATTGACGTATGTTTGGAGAGGATGTCTCAGTTTTGATTTTCCATTCTCTAACCTAGCTGTTTTGATGAGCTGCAGGATAAAAATGTCGTCACAGTTTTCAGTGCTCCCAACTACTGTTACCGATGTGGGAACATGGCAGCCATAATGGAGATAGACGAAACCATGAATCGATCCTTCCTTCAATTCGAACCAGCGCCGAGACAAAGTGAACCAGATGTGACGCGAAGGACTCCGGATTACTTTCTGTAAAACATGGCCAACGCATGGCATCTGCTACTTCCCGACTTGTCATGTATAGTCACCCTCCATGGAAGCGATTTGCCACTGAATGAAGATATTTCCTTATGATCTAGTAGCAGAAAATTATCATCTTTGAAGTGTCTCCTCTTTCTCTGTACTAGTCCCACTATATATTCACAAGTTTATTTTCACAACTAAGGTTGTGTGAATATAATTGTGAAGGAAGGAGCAGTACCAACACGAGCAAGGGTGATTGTTGTTAGGGGAAGAAGTTGGCACTTGTTACTTCTGTTGGATTATAGACTTCTAAGGGAGAGATGACGATGGTGGAAACAAAGTTCATCTCCACACTTCCTGTACATGGTATTTTCCTGGAGATCCCAGATTGTTTTTTTCTTTTGTGTCAAGTTTATGTTCTCATCAATCCAATTTTCTACTACACTCGGAGCATTCTCCAGAGTCGTCTTCTACTCGTTCTTGTCTATTCCGTGTATGACTTTGCTGGACACATCGTCAGTGCATCGCTTCTAGTTGTGGTTTTACGGTTAACTTTTCATAGATTCCAAAAGGAGAAAAAAAAAACCTTGTACGGACCGATCAGTGAGTGGTAAAGTTATGTGCAATTTCTCAGACTTCAGATGACAAAGGGTGAAATCAACTTTAATTCATATGTCGATGAATATAGGCAAATTGGTTTGGGAGCAACGTAGCTGGAAAACCAGGCAGGGGTTGATGAACAGAGTGTAACCCAATCACCATTCTGTGCATCGTCATACGAATGAGTGTAAGAAGTGAGTAACTTTTTCATCCATTTAGAGTTGGGTTTCAGGCTCACTGACGGAGCCAAGCCTTCCCGTTGTTTTTTCTTGCCCTCGCCGCAAAACCCTGAGAGCTCCGTGCTTTCATGCTTCGAATTGCTCAAATCTGCGCATTCTTACACGCCGTAGCATCGCCGTGCTGTGCTGGACGCCAATGACGTGAGAGCGGGGAATTGCTGGTACGCATTTCCTCTTGTTCAGCTTAGTGTTGCTGCTTACAAGATCCGGTTGTCTGAGTGGCTGGGATCGGAGTGGGACACTTGCTGCGGATGTCTTGGTTGGAAAGGGGTCGAAGCGTGAGTCCGAGTGTAGGAGGACACGTCTTGCGGACCGATGCAGTGTGTTGTGAAAGCCGATAACAGTCGTGTCTAGGTAATTGGGATCTGTACAGAGCTCCCGGGGATGCCGCACGGGAGCTCAGGGGGGGAGGAGGAGGAGGAGGAGGGGGAGGTGGTGAATAAGAAACACTTGTGTGCATGATTGCTTCCGTTTTTGTTGTTTCCTTTGCTTCGAATCAATCCGTGAGGCGAGCGCTTGGTTTGTTTGCATCGTACAAAACCGACTCGCGGGGATTTTGTGGCGGTTCCTACAGCGAGTGAGGGAATTAACCCGGGCAGTAGAGGTGAGCTGCGGTGGTAGTGGCGCAGTCATGGCCTTGTCGGAGTTGGAGTTGAATGTTTTCTCTGATCATGGCGTTCTAGCAGCGAGGTTATGATGGTTCTGGCGGTTGTGAGGTTCTGACTGGGGTTCTGAGCACAGTCAGAGTGTGTTGGTCGGACAGCATTGATGCACTTGTTTAGAGAAGTAGTGGGTTTGGGGAAGGGTGATCAGCCCGTATTCATGCCAACCGGAAGTGAAGGCCGTCTAAGTTAATTCGCAGAGGACGACTTCGGGTTGTCTGTTGTTAAGAACTAATTTCGCGGTAGTTCTGTCGTGTAAGTGTAACACAGAACCTCATTGTGCTTCGATAAGTATGGTGAAGGCTGGGTCCCGTCGAGGTCGAAAGTTACCATAGAGTAACATGTACTCAGTTGCGATGGCAGCGGATTGGTGATCAAACAGTAATACGTACCAGTGGGTTCACATCATTGTTTGGATGTACACAGGTGTCAAAGCAGAAGCCAGATTTCTCAAAATGGACACTGCGATACCGTGCTTGTAACAGAGATTTTGGGTGTGTAGAAAAGGAAATAGTGACACACAACTTCACCATTACTCATCGATTACTAAGGAATTTGGAACCAGAAAAGCATATTATACGAAGGGAAATAAAGAAACTGGACGCCCTGCAAGAGGAATTGACAGTCGTTGAAAATGAAGAAAGCACCAGGAATTCGTGTAGGGATATTGATGACTACGTGCATGATATTCACCCCCTCGCTTCTGTTGAAGATTAGAGATGCCGGATAGATACGTGTTCGATTTTGCCCTGTTCGGAATTCGAGTTTTGGACAATCCAATCGGTGGTAAACATTGGGAATGAAAATTGCAGGTTGAAGTAAACGTCGACCTTGACAACAAAGTCTTTTGCCAGCAGTTGTGTCTTTTTTGTCGATTTGAAAGCTCCGTTGTGATGAAGAGTGTGAATGAAGTGTTCAACACTCATTGGAGTTAGTAGCAGCATAGGACCTTTTCCCCTCCACTATAGTGCAGAGAATGGGAGCGACGGATCCCGAGGTAGTGCCCTTGATTGCAACATGCCCTTGATCAGACATGAGTTGCAGCAAGTAGGTCATAGTTGTTGGAAATGTACATACATATAATTATACATAATTATATGTATAATTATGTAAACAACTTACAATTATGACTTATAATTATACATAATTATATGTATAATTATATAAACAACTTACAATTATGACTTATAATTATACATATAATTATGACTTATAATTATACATATAATTATGACTTATAATTATACATATAATTATGACTTATAATTATACATATAATTATGACTCATAATTATACATATAATTATGACTCATAATTATACATATAATTATGACTCATAATTATACATATAATTATGACTCATAATTATACATATAATTATGACTCATAATTATACATATAATTATGACTCATAATTATACATATAATTATGACTCATAATTATACATATATTACATATATTGTCTACATTATTGTCTACATTATTATGAAGATATTGTTGGTAAGTTAGATAAAATTTTGATTAAACATATTGTTGGAGTTGCAATAGGGAATAATTACATTAATGTAGCATTGCTTTGGTAGTAATTTTAAGTTTGTAATAAATTAGTAATAATTTTTTTCAATAAATTGGCAATTGTGTGCTCTTGGTAGGATTATGTAGTGGTTTGTTGATGGTGTAGTGGATTAGATGGATATTGTTATGAGGGCAAGTATTTGAAATTAACATTCTTAGAATGAATTGACATGGTTGAGATTTTCAAATTATATGGACAATTTGAATTAGTAATAGTTGATTTGTGTGCATTTGTTGGAAAGTCTTTATCTTGGTTTAAGTTGTTAAGTCTCATAATTAGTTGAGATGGGTGACAATTGCTGAATTAGGTTTAATATGTTGTTGTTGGTGTAATTAGAAGTGTTGTAAAATTAATTGATAAAGATTGTTGTACCTTGCTTGCTTTTCATAATAAATAGATAGTTGTGTTAATCCAAATGGATTAGAGAGTGGTGTGTTGATGGTATGATAAATTAGATGGATTGCAAAATGAGTACAAGGACATGAAAATAGTTTTTGGAAGATTGAGGGTTTGCTTTTTCAAATACTGTATTTTATGTCATTAGTTGTTATTAGAAGTAAAAAATAATTAATTTATTGTTTTTATTGAAAATTAAAAGTGTGCTATTTTAAAAGAGAATAAATTTAGTTTATAAGTAAAAGTTGCATGAGAATAAAATGAAGCTATGTCTCTTTATAAAATAGATTTTTTTAGTACAACAAATTTTTTTATTTAGTTTTTTAAAATTACTTAATTAATTTATACATCATAATCTCTTATAAATCATATTTTAATTTTTTATATTATATTCAATTAGATTTATACTTGTATATATTAACAAAATATTAAGTGACTTAATATATTGTATCAATTTTTTTATTTTAGTAAAAAATATGGATATTTTTAGTAGAATATCTATAAATGTAGATCGAAGAATTATTTGTAAGATATTTATTAATGATTTTAAAATATTTAATGGATTTTGGATTTAATTTTTTTCTCTTATAGAAGCATTTTCATTTTTATTTATATATAAGATGTATTTATGCTTAATAGTTAAATTATATTGAAGAATGAATATATGTATAGATATAGAAATAATTTTGAATTGGTGTAGTAAGTGATACTTTTATTATTTTTATTTTTCATGTTTCTTTTGTATATTTTTATGGCAAATTAGAAATTGCAAGAGTCTAGTGATGAGTGAATGTAATTAGTATTATCAGGTTTAAAAAAATGTAGATATTGATATTTTAATTAGTAAGAGTTGTCTATATAATTTTCAAGTTGAAATTTGAGATGATAGAAGTTAGTAGAAGTATAGGTAAAGTTGAGTGAAAAGGACAAATGAGTCCTATTTATAATATAATTGATAGAATTTAAAAGTTAAAAAAGAATATTGGATGGTTGAAAGTTATTCTTATTAGAATTTGCAATAATAAATCTTATTTTAGTTGGTTAATTACATATATTGTTTGGTTGGATGTTTTTTAGATCTAAAGTTGGTTTTTTATTCAATCAAATAGTGAGTGCATTTAAAAAACTTCATGTTGTGATTGTAAATTCTTGAAGCATGTTTGCATCATATCAAATTATAATTGAAGTTATGTAGGAAAGTTTATAAGATGAATTTTCTTAAGTAGATGACATTTACAGTTCAAGTTTATCTTATAATATTATTATTTTTTTAAAATTAAAGTTGTAGGTTGAAATAAAGTTATTAAAATATGTAAAGAAATAAATTATTGGTTTTAAGATTATTTAAGATTGATGATTTAGCTTTAGAATTATAGATTGAATTTGTAGGATGAATAGTTATATGGTTTGTGAAACAATGTAGTTAAAAGAGTGTTTGATAAATATTCTTGAAATATCAAACAAATTTAATATGTATTTTTATTTTTATTTTTTATTTATAGGTATTGAAAAGATGAAATTGGATTTTTTTAAAATTAATTCATCATACAGTACCTTCTAAAACTATTTAGACAATATATAATCATGGTTTGGAGCTATGTACATAATTTGATCATTTCAAGGTTATTAATTAGTATAGAAAAATGTGACCAAATATCAAGTATGCAAGGTACTTTTGAAGATACTTAGAAAGGATCCAAAGTCTACATTGGAGCATTTAAAGTTTTATTGAAGAAAAAAATTATTAAATAAAAACCAATGTGCTAATTTGTACAAGAAAATTAAAGAAGTTATAAAGGTTTTTGGTCATCTAATAATTTGTACCCATGGTGGATTAGAGATTGGACTTTTATTGATTTATTTTTTATACTTAATAAAACTTATTTTGTAATAGAAAGTTGTGGAAAACCAAATTAGTGTGAAGAAGATATCTTCTACTTGAATAACAAAGAGACTTTTAGAGAATTAATTTTGGATTTAAAATTTTATTATGATGTAACAAATAATATGCTTTCAAAGTATTATTCCAATTAAGTTGAAGACAACTCCTTGGCTACTTTTTAGATAGTAAAATTTCATGAAGTAAAAGAGGATGTTGAATTTTTACAAGAGAAGTTGATTATGCAAGTAGAAAAGAAGATTTTGAGCATTTTGGATTAGCAAAGCATCTATTATACAAAACAGAGGATTTGCTTCACATAGAAGGTCGAAAATTGGATGAATTAAAACAATTGTCAAATATAAAGAGTTTTGAAATTTCAAATCATATAAGTAAAGAAAATTATAAAAAAAATTATAAATCAAAGTGGATGGGACTTGTATATGCATTTAAAAAGGTTGATATAATATTTGATAATTTTTTTATGAAAGAAGTGAACATTCTAGTAAGCTCAAGCCATTCCAACTTAATAAAATATTATTTTGCAATGATAGGTAGTGCCCATAGAAGTATTGAAACTTCTTTATTAAAGAATAAAAAAAATACTTATGTATTTGTAGAATAGATATTAATTTGTTTTTGTAAGATATTAGTAAAATAGATTAATAGTCTATAGAATAGTCAGTTTAGGAGGTCGGATGATTGATTCAATTATTAAAAGCGGTTATTATAGGATTATGGTTAGAATCTAGTAATCAATAGCAATTATATAGAAGTTTGTTGGGGCGCTAGACTGTGATAGTCATGAGCCGGGATTAAGCTTGGTGCTTCCTCTTTGTTTCTTTTGTTTTCTTTGTTGTTGAAGAATAATGGATAGTTTCTGAATACTGAGAAGTGAGTCTATGGAATAAATCAGAGATTGATTTATGAGTTATTGATTATGTAATTGGAGTATTGAGTCATTGAATCATATGAGAAGTTATTGGAAGCTTGATTATGGATGGAAGATTATGATTGTTGTTTATTGAGAGTTGTATGTGTATGTTTCGACAGAGGAAGTCTATGATTACAGGAATTCAGTGAATTCAGATTGATTGGAGTGAAGTTTGTTATTCCTGGTGTTGGATGGAATTTATTGAGTTTTGAGCGGTCTTTTGAGAGTGCAGGGTTACACATTGTGGTTATCAGTTGATGAAGGAGTATTGTTACTGGGAGGAAGCATTGTAGTATTTCTTAGTGTTTTAGTGGTTTAGAATATAGTTAATTGTGTGATCCTAACAAGTAAAACTCATGCGCTTAGTCTTTCCATGTGTTCGAATTTTCCTATACAAGTTTATTCTGGAAGGAATTGTAGAATAAGTAAAACGACAATCACATTTTTGGCGCCGCTATCGGGGATTGACAATAGCATTGAGTGTTAAGAATTAACTGCCGGATGAGCAGATGGAAAATAGGAAGCAAATTCAGTAGTATATAATAAAAGATTATGGTTATTAAGAATGAGAACATTGCAGTAAAGAAAATATGCTAGTCGAAAGAAAGATAAGAGAGAGCGCAAGCAAGAGAGCCGTTGCAAAATGAGCAAGAACGCAAGTTAAAAAAGAAGCGTTATCGTACTATAAATGCTTACAGTATGTAAAAATTAGTTAAAACATATTATATGTTGATAAATCTAGATGTGTGTTAGAGTGGCTAGTAGATTAAATTAAAAGAAGTTGGTATAAGAAACTTTACTTTGTTTCTTTATTTCTTTTGTTTTTGACATTAAAAAATATATATATATATATATATATAGGACCTAAATGTTTAGTATGAAGCCTTGGGAGAAGGTGGAAACCTAAGGATTAAAATCTAAACTAGTAGGAGGCTAATTGGGAGGGATGAAAGTAAGGCATGGTCGGATGAAGGCAAGGAATGGAAAACTTCATCCCTATTGGTCGAATACCATGCCCAATGGGCTTTGAGGAGGCTGCCCACGACCTTAAGAAGGGTTTCGGCGACTTCAAAGAGGCATTCGGAGATTAAAAGCTAGGGTTGTAAATTTTAGGGTTTGGAGTACAATTTTTGTACAAAAATTAAAGGATTTGGAATTAGGGTGAAGAAGTTATAGCCATTTGAAGTTAAGGTGTTTATTTAAGACATACTATTACTCTTTTGAGGGTACGAGGAGTTTTACAGCAGCTTTTGAAGATCGAAAGGTGCAAATAGAACGGCGATTTTAAGACCTACATCTTTCATGAAAGAATTATTTCTTTTAGAGTTTATATGAAGGAGTTGTAAGGAGTTGAAGGCGGCGCTTCCAAATCAAAGGCAGTAAGTAAGTGG